GAAATTTCTCCAGATTACCTCAACAAATTAACAGCTAGAATGCCAAAGGTCTGCAATGCTGTAATTGCTGCAAATGGAGGATTCTTTGACGAAAGCAAAGTTTGAAGGAAAAAATTATTATTTCAAATACAAATCATTATTTCTAACCTTGTCAATGTCTTTACTATATTTTCTATTCATTTTACAGCTCGTGGTGGTAAATAAAAGTGTGACTTTTCATGGAAAACACAAAATTGTCTGGGTGACCCCAAACTTTTGAACGGTAGTGTATATACTGTATATATATATATATCCTCCATTTTCTTTCCTCTACTTACAGTACCTCCACTTTTCCTTTTTTTTATCCTTACTAGTCAGTCTTTAGTGCCTAATTCCCTCTATTTTTTTTCCTTTTTGGCCTCATCTGGTTATTGTCTGCCTTCTTTTTTCCATTTTCACTTTATTTATTTCTCTTTTTCTACCTGTTCACTGCAAGGAATTGTCGCTTTTTTGTCATCCTGAAAATTAAGATGTCCCTCATCCTGACATCACCATTTTCAGTCTGAAGAGAAACTTAATCTAATGTCACTTACATGCAGTAGCTGTAGGAACAGTAGAAATGCCTGCTATCTCAGAACTGAGACTGAAGTCAGTTCAATTCCATGTTCACCTATCACAGTATGTTAGATAGATAGATAGACAGACAGACAGATAGACAGACAGACAGACAGATAGATAGACAGATAGATAGATAGAATTCCCTGCTCAATCATTGCCATGGTTACTTGGGTGGAGCTCACATTGGCTCATTGCAATTTAAAGGTAGAGGCATAAAAACGTCAGTTCAGAACAACAGTGTTTAACAGGTGTGTTAAGAATCCAGCTCTTCTCAATCCTAGCATTTCATTCAGACACAGAGAAACCATATTAACTCTCAGTAATATAATATGTTCCAGTTCCTCCTCTAGTTTAGCACTTTAAATAACTGCACAGCAGAGCAGCAGAGTCAACACAATACACACCATCACATGGTGCTGATGTGTACTTTGGGTGTGTCACACACAGTGGGAGGATCTTCACAAGTTCCTGAAAGATTACCTGAGCTCCAGTCTGCCGCTCGCTCTCACTCAGTCCAGTCCAGTCCAGTCCAGTAGACAAAGTGAAGGACTGCACCTGCTCCAAGTCAGAGGACAACATGCAGAGTGAGTTAGAGTTTTTATTTGATGTCATTCTGTTTGTTTCATTTTTTTTTTCTTTTACTCAGACATACTGTATATATCTTTAAAACACTCTGATCATGTCTGAGAAGAAGTCGCGACTGTACACAGTCAGACATTAACAATTAACCACAGTGAGACACTAACAATGACAGTGTTAGATAACAAACTGAAGTGTTAAATGCGACGAACATTGGTAGAAGAGTTTTGAATTCAGTTCAAAGTGGCTGTTAAACAATACAGAACATTGGTAATGTGCCGTGTTTTCAACGTATCTACTACAAGGGGGCGGGGGGTGTCCTGTTTTGACATAAATTCACTGTTATCTCTTGTAAGGAGGGGAAATTAAAACTTAAACACACAGTAACAAACGGCTGTGGTTGTAGCAGCTACAGTGTTGTTTTCTTTTAAACCTGATGCTAATCCAGAGTTTCTACATTCCTCACATTGTACTTTTTCACCCACACCTGCTCACAATGACGCATTAAAAACAAACATCCTGTCTGATGGGGCAGTGAGTTTCACTGTGTATAAAGAATTGTGTCTTCAGGGTCTTCTGGTTCACACATCCATGTCTCTTTAAATCAAGGGACCTGGATATTCATGGTTAATGTGTACATTTAAAACATAATAAATAACATTGATTATCACAAGTGTTTTAACCACATAAAGTTTCTTTTTCTATTTTCATACCAAAATTAAATCTCAAAATAAAGAACAAAAATACTTTAACATAATAAACATGTATTAAAGGCTGGTTCTGTTATTTTCCTCTGTTGTGTTATTTAGGAGTTATTATGGCACTTCAGGAGGGTGTGTCATTGTTAGGTTAAAGAAGAACACAATGTCTCAGTAACATGTAACAGTAGTTTTTATTCTACATCCAGGAAAACCTGAAATTCACCTCTAGTTTCACAGCGGTTCACAGTTTTAATGTACCAACGACCCTAGTGGTCGCATGAAAAAGGACCTGCAGTGTGGTTTTCACTAGACCATCATTTGGAGGAGACACCTGAAACTGTCACTACTGTCATTTTTTCCTCTGCTTTCTCTGTTGTTCTCTCCCTTTTTGATTTGATGAAGCGATTTCATTAGGCCGTGTATATAGAAAATAAAGATGGAAACCTTTTCTGGGGGTGTGGATCGGACTGTTGCTAAAACACTGATTTGAGCGGCATCTCTGAGTGTATCTTTTTCTTTTGGATTTAGTAGGTGCTTAAGGCAGAGTATTGAACCTAACCTAGGAAAGTTTCAACTTTCAGGATGTTTCTACACCGGATTGTAAATAGGACTAAAACTTCAGGTGGGACACAGTTCCCTTATTTAGTTCTGTTGTAGTTTTACCTTGAGTCATCAAGGTAAAACCTTCTGTTTCATTAGCTGCACGCACCCCCCCTTCTGAAACCACTGACACCTACAGGGTTTGTTGATTCCTGAAGGCTACCTTTTGTGACTGCACTGATCAGACGTTTCTTTCACAGACATGAGCTCTCCAGGAGGGCGACTCCTCTCTGAGGATCAGTTCAGCTGCTCCATCTGTCTGGAGGTGTTTGTGGAGCCCGTCTCCACACCTTGCGGCCACAGCTTCTGTAAGGCCTGTCTGCAGGGCTACTGGAACCACAGCAAGAAAATCACCTGCCCCATGTGTAAGAAGAGCTACTCCAGGAAGCCTGAGATGAGCGTCAACAGGGTGCTGGCAGAAATCTCCTCCCAGTTCCAGGGGCTGATGATGTCAGGAGGTGCTTTTGGAGACGGAGGTGCCATGGCCTCACCCACTGCCACCTCCTCACGAGGATCCACTCTGAATCTGAACTCAGAGCCCGGATCTCCAGGGCCAGACACCGGGCAGTTTGCCCGTCCTGGAGAGGTTCCCTGTGACGCCTGCATTGGGAGGAAGTTAAAGGCACACAAGTCCTGTGTGAACTGCCCTGGATCATTCTGTGAGACTCACCTACGCCACCATAAAAAGGTCTGTTTCCCAGACTAAAGGACTTTTTTAAGGACTATTTAAGAGTTGAGAACCCGACCTGATTTATCCTAGACTTTTCAATACTCATGTCTAACTTTTCTTGCAGGTAAAGTCCTTGACGTCTCATCGTCTGATTGAACCCACCTTCCACCTGGAGGAGAAGATCTGTAAGAAACACGAGCGCCTCCTGGAGGTCTACTGCCGCAATGACCACATCTGCATCTGCACGGCCTGCGCTGAAGCCACACATAAGTCCCACGAAATTGTCTCCACGGACCACGAGTGGAAGAAGAAAGTGGTGAGCTGTAGATGAAGAAACAACAATTCCATAGACTTTAGTCGAGGAAATCATAATCATCATCTTGTGTTGTTCTTTAAGAGTGCTTTGGGAAAGAGGCGATCTGAGCTGAAGCATTTGATCAAGGAGCGGGCCAAGAAGCTGGACGAGATCAAACAGTCCATCAGAGTCATCAAGGTAAAACCTTCTGTTTCAGAAGCACTGCACCTAAATCATCCCACAGTAACAGTACCATCACAGACAAATAGTCGTACTTGTGACTGTTCTGGTGACTTTTCATATTGGGCACATCAAGTGAACAGCACTGAAGCTACGACTCCCTTCAAAGATGACCAATATATGATGAGGAGTTATAGCAGCTGTTCTGTCCAGGTCAGTCAGGGTGTATCCTTCACAAATGGGCCGACAATGTACTACTATTTACAGCCGTCTGTTAGATAACCTTTAGCTATTTCCTTTGAAATATTAAACTTTTTCTAAGCACTGCACAGGTTTTCCCTGTTTATATATTTTGTAAAAAATCCAGTACACTTCTATCTATATAATTGCTGACATTTTGGTTGTCTTTTGGCTAAACTTCAACATCTGGCTATATACAGATAGGAATTACAGCATGATCTTCACCAACTTGCGTACTTGAGTAACTTGAGTAAGCATGCAAATCATATCACAGCAGCTGCTCTGAATCTGAAGGGGCTGATGCTGCTGATACTGTAAATGTAGCCAAATTCCAGTGCAGCCTGCAGTTGTTAGCTGTTACTTATCCCATCTTTAAATGCTGGTAATAAAAAGTGGTTGAGTTACCTGAGTGTGCAGGGTTAGCAGAAGGGCTGACACTTCAGGGGTCAGATTACAAGAAAACTGATCTGCTGAGATTTGGAACAAAACAGAATAGAATATTATTTATCTCAAACATTCATTGACTCCAAGTCAAATTTAAAGTCAAGCCCCAGAACAGAAACAGGAATACCACTGGCTGAATTCAATGTAATCAAACAATATGACAATTTAATTGAAATATCACTTGGTTATCCTACTGATTAATATCATGGAGATCAAAATAAGGTTTCTTCTGGACTTTTTTCCCACTTGTTCAACAATAAAGAAGAGAAGTTACTTCCCCGTAGCCAATTTCTCTCACCTTCCCATTTCAACCACCTGTGTAGCTGTGGAACCAGTAAGACCAGTGCAAACATTTACCCAGGACTCCTCCCACCCATTGTTTGTCCACAGCTCGTTTCAGCCAAAGCTTATGTCGTGCCATGAAGAAATCATTAAAGATTAAACCGCTCAGGTCCAAAGTGATTAAAGGTGACTTCAGGTAAATCTTAAACCACTGACATGTTAATGACTAACTGGTCTGAACATGGTGTTTCCCAAAGGCTAGTGTACAGTATATCTGTTTGTTTTTTGTAGTGATGTAGCGATTGAGGGCACAGCTGTAGTAATTTGACTGCACTATTAAAATGTTTAAAATAACTTTTATAATGGCTAAAGTTTTGACACATTCTTAATTTCAAACAAATTGTTGGTTGTAATTTTTGATCTGTTCTTGACTCCAGTCTTTACTCCAGTTTATTTCTATATACCATACATTTCCTGCTCAGTGACATTTCCCCTACTTTAACAGGTACACTGAAGATACTGTTACAAACACATGTGGTGTATGTGTGTGAGCTGGACTAACAATCATACCATTGTCAGTGTTGTTAATGGAGTTTAAGAAGTTACACTTTACTAGATTCATGTGAATATTGATGACAAATAATTGATGAGAATGAGTAAAACATTTAGAAGGATTTACTGCAAATTAACACTTTATGTAAGGGAAATTAATACTTTACATTTTTACTGAAAAAAAGAGACTCAAATGTTGTAACTCCTCTGGATGTGGGCGTGAAAAACTCAGGAGAAAAACATGAACCTGTTTGTCGAGTCTTAACAGACGGACAAAACGTAACAGCTTTGATTTTTGTTGTTGTTGTGCTACTGGTCTTCACAGTTCATTTATGATTATACTGTGCTAAATGCTGGAACTTCAACCAGTGTACAGGTATTGAATATTGTAAACAGGTACATAAGCTCTCTCCTTTCCCTGTAGGAGGTGCTGTAAACACAGTTCTAATTTGATGGTAAACTGAACTTCTGACAAGGTAAAAACTTTACTAGATCAAATATGTTTAACTTTGAAGACAACAAAATTTGCACATTGGCTGGTTAGATACAGTGCAGTGCTCTGCTATCAGGTGGCGCTGTAGACAGTTTACATTTAAATTGCTATTGTTGAAACAATTCATTTAACCTTTCTTTTGATCTACTATTCTCTCTGAACAAAAATTAAACCCTGTTTATTTAATGTTGGAAACATGAAATTAAATGTTGAAATATATAAAATATCTTCAACTGTCCTCACAATGACACAGCTAGCCCCTCACTTAGGGAACCAGTGTTTTCTATTAGGTAAAACTTGTGTTGGCTAAGCTAAGGCTCATATTAGTCAGGTATGAAATTCATAGACATGGTGTGTTGGCTCATCACGTCCTGTCAATGTTGCTGAGTTTACCTTTGGGCTCAACCTTTGTTTTCTCTGTCTTCTAGGCCAGTGCTCAGAGGGAGCTGGAGGAGAGTTGGCAGGTGTACGCTGAGCTGCAGCGCCTGGTGGAGCAGAGTCAAGCAGAGCTGGTGGAGCTGATTGCCACTAGGCAGCGGGAGGCCGAGCGGCACGCTCAGGAGATGGCTCGGGGTCTGGAGAACGAACTGAGCCAGCTGAAGAGGAGGAGCAACGAGCTGGACGCCCACGCCCAAAACCAGGACAAGATCATCTTCCTGCAGGTGAAACACACCAGAGGCAGCCATGTTGGAGGCCACAATAATCAGGAAACTATGCTAAAAGCCATGAAGTTGTATGAATTAATATTAAGAAAAAAATACATTGATGCTTTAGCACTGACCTTGATGATAACAGTCATCATAAACTTAAAAACATCAATTTAGCCACATGGGATTTTAAATAGAGCCAAGTTCCAACATAATCAACAAATGATATTGAAACATAACTTTTCTTTTACTTTTTACCTTGCACCAACCTCCATTGGAAATATTCATAGTTTTACTAAGAGCAGATTATTTTTGTGAAACAGTTATGATTGCGTTAAACTTACCAGACACGTAAACATATAACCAAAAGTACTCGTGTTCCCTGTAGCATAAACATTTTTTTGTACTTACATTTTACTTTTTTTACATTTAAATTTCTACTAAAGAATCTTGGCACAAAGGAAAGTCTTTGGTTTGCTGTGTAGAATAGAGATTTAACAGAGAGTGAATGATGAAATATTCATTTTCTCAATCAAATTGAATTGGTCACATGAACCTCTCTCCTGTGACCCATTAAAGAACATTTGCACACTGTCACCGCCGCCTGAGAGTGCTGATTGGTCGGCGGTCAGCATCAACACTGACCTTTATCTGGGGACCATCCGCACGTCCGTCAGCAGCCTGATCGAAAAGTTCCAGGAGGAGCTCAAAAGACTGTATGGAAAAGGTATGGGCAAGAAATCCAAAATATTAGCCATCGTTAACTTTTTAATCATCTTTCCATGACATTTTTAATAAATTATTTATTGAATTCTAAACCGTCTTTTAGCATTGTCTCTATTTTGATCAATGAACTCATCTATTATCCAAAATGTAATAAATGGAAGACATTTAGAGGGGTAATTTAAAAAAACTACAGCCTTTTAACTGTAAGGGGCAAACTCACATCACATCACAAACAAACAAACAAACAGCGTACTGTACAGCAGAAATGGACTTGTGATTTTGAAACATAATTAGATCAGTTTGTGCCAGTATTCAAGTGTCTTACTTTTGATTTCTTTCAGAACTGCGTAAGGTCCAAAACTACTCCAGTAAGTACCACTGTGATCTGTTGCTCTAATGTTGAATTCTTTGTCTGCACTGTTGCTGCTTTCAAAGTAAAACGTCAGATTTTGTCAACGTTAGAGTACAGCCTTCAACAATCTTTCCTTGACCACAAGATGGTGCCACTTCTTCAGTACGTTCACATACTTTCGCTTTCACAGCTTCATAAAACATATGTGGAAATGTGAACAGGGCATTTTTATCGTTGGCTTAAATGAAAGGGAAAAAAGGAAAGGTTTCGTAGTGTGTGTGTGTGTGTTCATTAATTACTGTTTTAGGTAACTGGTCAATTCCACTATGGCATTGAACGTTAGGTAACTGGTCAATTCCACTATGGCTTTGAACATCCACTTCCTTCCTTGACCACAGGATAGCGCCAATTTACACACCCATAAACATTTGGTTTTACTCATTTGTCATGGGCTGAATATAAAATATGTTCAAATACTGACAGAGCAGCTAGGATCATTTCAAGTATATAGTATAGGTTATAATGTTCACTCCCCACTGACCACATGGGTGCACCCATTTGACTGATTCATCACTGTATATAATTGTACATCATGTACAGACATCCTCTACAAGTTATTTATGAAAACAGACCAGCCCAACCCTGATACAAAGCCAAGGTGAGGAAACTGTAGGTCTGATCATTAGTTTGATGAACATATGAAATCCAAAGTCTGAAACAGGAACATTATCCAAAGAGCATAAATGACTGTGTTTTCTCACTAAAGTTATTAAATTATCTTGACAGTAGAAACTCTTGTTTTTTTTCCAGGTGAGGTGATTCTAGACTCTTCCACAGCTCAGAGACACCTGGTTGTGTCTGAAGATGGTCGCCAGGTAAAATATGAAGAACGTAAGATCCCCCACACCGAAGGACCAAAGCGATTCAGTCCGGCCCTCTTTGTCCTGGGCCGAGAAGGACTCACCTCGGGACGCCACTATTGGGAAGTTGACGTAGGACGTAAGACAGCCTGGACGCTGGGAGTGTGCCGTGCTTCGGTGCGCCGCAAGGGGGAGATCAAGCTGAGTCCAGAGGGAGGATTCTGGTGCCTGTGGCTGAAGAACGGGGAGGTGAAGGCTCTGGCGTCGCCACGCCTGCCGCTAATGCTACCATCTCCACCAACTAAAGTAGGAATCTTCCTGGACTACGAGGGAGGCCAGATTTCTTTCTACGACGCCAAGGCACGTCTGCATCTGTATTCATTTACTGACAGCTTCAACGAGAGCTTATACCCAATCTTTAGCCCGTGTCTAAATCAGGAGGGCAAGAACTCTTGTCCTCTTATTATCGCAACCGTAAAAAGCACCTAAAATATTAGGCCATCTGGTTACTGCCTTTACCTTAATACAAGAAGGTTCCATAAAAATACATACAGGTACCTGACAGTTTATATTAAACTTGTTTAAAATCCAGCGTGTAAAATAATTCATACTGTATTTTCAGGTCTATACATGATACAACAGTGTAAGTTACATGAAGTGGAAAAAACATTCAACCATCCAGGTCGATAAGTCATATATATTTTTGAAAGTTTCATCTAATAAAAATGCAAAAATAAATGTTTAATCTTAAAAGATTATTTATTTTAACAATACCATATAGCAAGTGACCATTACCAGACAGGGGAATAAAACGTTTTAGTTTTTCCAGTAGCGTTAGTCTGCATGTTATTTTTATTATTATTTTCAAAAGAATTACTTCTGTCCGCCCTTCTATATAAATCAAACTGTAAACAATGAAATGGAAGTGCATAATAATATACATATGATATGATTGTTGTGAACATAGGCCTAATATATTATATGACAGGCTAGCAACTTAGCCTCACTGAATCTGTTCATTGTCACTCTGTGTCACTTCCAAATCCCTAACAGCATCAGCAGCACACTTTATACTCTCTGCACTCTGCAAGCTAGTCTATATGGTCATTTCAATGCTGCAGTGGAAGGCTTCAGCTGTCATGACTGTAGACTATGCCCTCTTGTGGCCATATGGCATGGTTTATATTTTTGATTGATATACAAGTCACTTTGGAAAACAAGTAGCAGTAACAGCCAACTACAAAAAATGTATCTTATAGTCCTGAAAATACAGTAACAACATGTACATTAATGGAATCTTGATGGAGACAAAGACTAAAAATGAGTCCAGTGGTTAAGACTGGGGAAACACAGCAGAATCTGCTCACTCATCTAGTTTCTTTTTTGTTGTTTTTATGCCAAGTTACTGTCATATTCTAGTAAACCTCAGGACTTGTGACCTAACAAGTGTGACAATTCAACTTTACACAAACTTTACTCATGTTGCTAGTCAAATGCTCGTTCAGCATCAGCAACAACAGACGTCACTGTAGCTCACTGTCACGACACATTTGACTAGACATTGGTGTTAACAGCAGGGCCACAACTGGTTTATCTGGTTTAACTCTTCGGTGTGGGAAAGAAAAGCTGTTCTACATGTACATTAGCATAATGCTAAGGCTTTGACCAATGACAACCAAGCCTGTGTTTACTTTAAAAAAACACACCGAGTATTTGATTACACCCCTGTTATTTAATCCACTGAGATGTCTCATACTGGCTCCAACAAGCAAGGAATCTGTTCAATCAAGTAAAATGTTCTTCAATGACTTTGTATCGACTGACTTAATACTTTGGAAAGTTGGTTAGTTACCATTTTGGTTAGCCTATACCAATCCTAGGCAGTTTAAAATTGTAAATAAAAAGAAATGAAGGATAATATGGTATGGAAAACCATGAAGAAGTGGAATAAACTACTGTAAAAGAAAGTAGTTCGTCCCACAATAGGGAAATTTACAATTACTTTAATTGATGATGATTGTTTTATGCATCAGCGGTTTTGGTTGGACATGTTTATTTTTGGCACTTTCCTTTACATGTGTTAGATTTGTAGGACATATTGAACGCAAGTGAATTGTTGAACCGGGATAGCTTTAAGAAATTTAACTCCAAATGTAATGTTTTTTATTATATGTTTACTTTTGTACATTCTTTTTGAATTTGTTTCAATAAATATGATTGATCCCAATTAATCTTTTAGTTGTTTTTTTACTGACTTTATCAACAACACTGTGATTATACCAGACCTACCATTTAGCATAGAAATGGCTTCATATTTAGGCTACTGTACATATATCAATTCAATAAATGTGCTTGCTAGCTGTCGCACTATCAAACATAATAGAAACAGTCTTAAGCTAGCTTCTGTGATTGCCATTGGTGTCAATCACAAAAATGTCAGACCATGGTTTTAACTGACTAGTCACTGAACAGAAACTAACGACAGAGTTTCCAGGGAGCTGTTCGCTCAGCCAGACTGCTGGTATTCTCAGACGGGTTAAGCCGTTCCTCCTGAAGCCCTTTCTCAGGGCCATGACCAGGGTGTATAAAAATGTAACTGGGGTAAAAGGGCAAGGGGGGAGGGGGAACACAGGGGAGGAGGGTGTATTTTGGGTTCTGAGGTGTGTGTGTGTGTGTGTGTATGTGTGTTATCGAGGTTACCGAGTATCTCATGTGTCAGTGGACAGCAGAGTCTCCAGGCAGCTGCCCTCTGGTGAGTGTCCCCATGTTTCTGTCTTTTTCTTTCGGTCTGTTCTCGTCATCTGCTGCATTTAGATTTCTAGTTGCCATTTCATTTCATACTAATTTCTGTAGAATGCTGTTACATTAGTTGGAATACTTTTAAATCCCTCTGGCCAAAATAAAAACCTCTTAATAATTCAATAGTTGGACATATTGATGAAAAAGCTTTGAGGTCATATTGAAATGTGTAGAAGGTGAGATAATTTTATATAATATAATTGCTGATCAGAAGTATACCTTGTCAGCTGTCCTTGTCTTTTTGGAAACAGTGTAATTAGGTTAACTCTGAAGTGCCCTTTGAAACTCTGAAGTGACTTGAAGAAACCTTCTTATTAACACACATATTTTGCAGTCCAAAGTAAATTTCAGTGCAAATGTGGATTAAACCATGATGCAACCATATTTCAGTAGTGAGAATAGAATATGAATTTTGCATTAAAACACAGTATTTACAATACAACAGCAGCGTCTCAAGTTGCATTCAAGGTCTGCTTATCAAAGATTGAAACAGTTTGGGTTTTTTTGACCAGGTCTGTTACTGCCTGCAACCTAATAGCAAACTTTCAAATATCAGTCTACCCATTGTAAAGTAGGATACATACTGTACTGTACTGTACTTGAAATATGCTAATATGCTAGGCTGCTCATCTCTAAACCCCATTAAGAATTTTCTGGCTAAATCTTTGTCCTAATACATTTTTAAGATGGATGGATGGATGGATTTTATTCTGTCATCAAAAACCCTGTTAAGTGCCCTGTGAGGACAGGGCACAGAAAGTAGTTATGACGCAGCTCCTTAGTGCTTTTTCTAAGTCGGATTAAATAACAAGGTCAACAATGACTTGCAACAAACCCTAAACTGCAGTGACAAAGACAACTTTTTCAATTTTGCTGTTCAGTTCTAACACCAAATAAGTCCCATCATGCTTTGATAGGTGCACTGATTCATGCGAATGACCGCATACCAACCTGTGCCATCTAACCCAGAGCAACCTCAATATCACAGCAGGTTTGATGCCCCATTCAGAGGCCGGTTTCTTGCACTGAAAATGACGCTGCCTCTCCGATGTGTAGGCATGGCTACGGCTGGGAACCTCTCTGAAGAGCAGGTGCACTGCTCCATCTGCCTGGATGTCTTCACCAACCCTGTCTCCATCCCATGTGGACACAACTTTTGCCAGACCTGCATCCTTGGATACTGGAAAACCAGCCCCTTATTCCAGTGTCCCATGTGCAAGAAAACCTTCCATAAAAGACCAGATATCAGCGTAAACACGGTGCTGAGAGAAATCGCTGAGCAGTTCAAGGAGATCAGGGTACGAAGTCTGGAAGGGAAAGTCAGCAAAGAAGAAGAGAGAAAGAATAAGAAGTGGATGATGGAGGGAAAGAAAAAGGAAGATGAAGAGAGGCTTATCGGAAAAGAACAGGAGCAACTCGAGGAGGAGCTGATGCCAAAGCAGGAGGTGCAGAGCAAAAGAAAGGAGTGTTTAAGGCAAAGATCAGAGGAGCTTCCTCCATTAATACCATCTGTATCAGCTCCCATGACCTCACCTTCTCCTTCACCTCCTGCAAGAGCTCATCGTCCCCCACCTCCTCTGCCCCAAACATCACCACCGTCCTCACAGGCACCGGCTTCTCTGTCTCCCCAATCGCCTGCTTCACTTCCTTCCTCCTCTCCACTCCTACTTGCCTCCTGGGAAGAAGAAGTCTTATGTGATGTCTGCCTAGGAGATGGGAGGCCCAAAGCAGTTAAATCCTGCCTTGTGTGTCTGACGTCCTACTGCGAGGAGCATCTCAAGTCTCACACTGCCAGGTTCACGAAGCATAAGCTGATGGACCCAGTCGCCAACATGGAAGACAGAATGTGCCCGAAACATGAAAGGCTCCTGGAGCTCTTCTGTAAGAAGGACCAAACCTGTGTGTGTGTGCTCTGCACCGAGACCGACCACAGGGCCCACTACACCGTACCAGTGGAGAGGGAGTGGACTGAGAAAAAGGTGAGAGAGTCAGAGTACAGTGATGCATCTACCTTTTTCATCTTCTTGCTGTCTTTAACTGTTTTGGATAAAGATGGAGAATCCTGCCTCATGTTTTGGCTGAAGTTTAGCCTTTTGTTTTGTTTGCATTTGTTTTTAAGTTTATTCTTCCATAAAAAAATTAAATACTTTTTTGTCTAAGTTTTGTTATTACAACCCATCTTATTTCAGATTGTGCCCGTCTTGTGTTTCTGGAACTGTTTTATTTAGGCATACTTAAAGAAGACAGAACTGGACGTCCAGCATATGATCCAGGACAGAGTGAAGAAGGTAGAGGAGATCAAACAGTCAGTGTTGCTCAACAAAGTAAGTACATCTTAATATCATCTTTAGATAGAGTCCTGGAGGCCCAAGCAGGCCAAGCTTACACCTAGCATACACCTGGGACAATTTACAAGCAATTTCTAATTCCAATCCCAGCTCTGGGAGGACTGTGGCAAGTCACCCTGCTATTGTTCTTCTGGTGTTAACCACAAAGTTTCACAGAAAACCTGCACCTCTTGTCTTTTCAGGCCAGTGCACAGAAAGAGATTGAGGAGAGTGAACAGGTTTTATCCGAACTCGTGCGCTCCATCCAGAAAACTCAGGCTGAGCTAGTCATGGCCATCGAGGAGAAGCAGAGATGGACAGAGAGACGCGCCGAAGGCCTAATATCAGAACTGGAGCAGGAAATCAGTGAGCTGAGGAGAAGGAACACAGACCTAGAGAACGTGGCTCGCACCGACCACATTCACTTCCTCAAGGTAAACTCTCTGTTGTCCCCCAACTGCATTCTTACAGAGTGCAGCTACTTAAATAAACTATAAACTGTTGAACTCATGCTTTGTCTTTGTGCAGAACTTCCCAGCTCTGAGCACACCTCCATCTGTCAAAGACTGGTCTGACACCAGTGTTCCCACTGACATGTGCATAGGTATGATCAGGAGATCTGTGTCCAGTCTGGAGCCAATGTTAAATGAAATGGTTGACAAATTGGTCAACAGCGGTGAGATGTTTCTCTCTTCTATATTGGAAAAGTATATTTTGTATTTTTCTATAGCAGTGTCTCATTTGGAGTATTTTGGAGCATTCAACATCAAATGTAGTTTCTACAGTGCTTTAAATCCCTATACTACAGAAAATCAGTTTTTGGACCGAGACACAATAATAATGTCAATTACATAACAAAACCCTATCGACCTACCTATCTATCAATATGGAAATGTACATATGTATATACTTATATATATGTATATATATATATGTATATAAATATGTAAATATATATATATATATATATATATATATATATATATATATATACACATATATATATATATTTCTACAGTATTTCTGACAAACAATTCCTCTGTAATGTATGTTTTTCTGTTTTCAGAAATCAAAAAGCTTCTGAAATATGGAGGTAATTCTTTGTTCCCATTTGTACACAAGTCTCTTTATCTTTATAGCAATAAGAAAATATGTCTGTACCTGTCCTTTCAGTGGATGTGACTCTGGACCCCGACACAGCCAACCCCTGGTTACAGCTTTCTCAAGACAGACATCAGGTCAGACATTTAGGGGCATGGCAGGACCTTCCTGACCATCCGGGTCGCTTCGACACTGTGGTCATTGTCCTGGGCCGTGAGGGCTTCACCTCTGGGAGACATTACTGGGAGGTCCATGTGGGAGACAAGGATGACTGGTACCTTGGAATCGCCAGGTCCTCCGTCAACAGGAAGGGCAGGATCTCAGTCAGCACCACCCATGGGTACTGGGCTTTGGCCATGAAGAAAGGTCAGGGATACCGAGTGTCCACATCTCCACCATTGATGCTCTCACTCAACACCAGGCCAAAGCGAGTGGGCGTCTACATAGACTACGAGGAGGGACAAGTGTCCTTCTATGACGTCAGGGCTCGGACTCACATTTACACTTTCAAAGACACTTTCACAGAGAAGGTTCTGCCTTTCTTCTACCTGTACTGCTGTGATAAAGCCTCAGACACCATCATGATCTGCCCTATGAACGAGAAATCAACAATAAAGTGAAGTTAATACACGGACCTTTCAAGAACAATTAGCTGTTAGACTGTTGGATTGATAATTTAGACAAATAATTTAATAATTTAAATTAAACCAAAATTAATAACTGAAAATGAATATACAGAAATGCATGAAACATTCAAAAAGTAACATAATGGTATGTGTACCAATAAAAAAGTGGGGTTAATAATCAGGAATTGTGTAATCCTGTGTTAGTGATCCTTGCACATTCTGGACTTGATTTCCTTATGTTTACGGTTCAGAGACTGTGCTCTTCCTATGAATGATGATGGAAGGAGGTCAAACATGTCCCAGTTGGTGTGTACTTCTACTGAAACAAACGTCACTGCTGCTTTTTGGAGGCTTCAGCTGGGTAGGAATTAGGAAACACTACAACTTACTGCTCCTGGTGGTTTATGATCATCCAGGAAATGAGTGTACAAGGGCTGTACACTGCTGGAAAGGAGGACAACCCTGTTGGACTCTGTAACTGATAAGACTATTTCTTCAGGGAGAGACACCGTTAAGAAGAAAAGTAAGATATTTGATCTTTAAAGGGTTATTTACTTTGTTTTTTCCTTATTTGGCAGTGCATATTTGAGAAATGACCACTGAACAAGAGCGGACTTTTTAACCTCTTGTTTATATGTCAAGGACTTTAGCCTCTTGAGAAGTTTACGTGTGGACGTCACAACAACTCCACTGTCACAACTGTGTTTTAACCCTAAAGATTTTACTATGCGCAGCCTACATCTGCCCAGATTTTTACTGCCATCCCAAAGAAAATGGTTTTGAAATTGATATGTGTTACAGTATCTGATACAGGCAAGACATAGAACTAAGGATTTCTCTGTGTCTTAAGTGTAAACTGTAACTGTCTCATCGTAAACACAAAGTGCGTACTTGTTGACTTTTCAGCTGAACCTGTACTTTTTTACAGTGGTTTGAGACATAAGCTTATAGTCTGCATTAACTAGCTGGATTTATAAACAGAGAAGACCTAAAGAAAACTGGGACTTGAACACTGCAACACAGAGGACCATTCGCTGCTAAAACGTTATAACCAAAGCAGTTACTTCAAGAGCACGTTTCACCTGTCATCCATGAGGCTTCTTCAGTTCAGAACTGTTAAGATGACCTGAGTGACTGAGAACTTATACAGAGAAAGAGTTATAACAAAATCCATTTGTGAACACAGGCAGCAGAGGATCAATGTCAGCTGTGTACTGTAGTGTTAAATACATTTTCTCTAGGGACTTTGGCAGCTTCAATCAAGCGGCATAAACCTTGTTTTATGACTATCTATTGACCAAGTATGGCACCAAACACTCTATTTAAAATATTATAGACTTAACACATCTATATTACATCAGGTCATGTAATGTATTAGGGCAAATGACCTCAAACTTACAGAGATATTTGACTTTAAGCTCTTCAGAAAAGTACTGTGTTATTAATAATTTAAAGAGGCAATTTGAGACGGAACAGCAGGGGGACAAGGATAAATTATTTTAAAAACTTAAAATAATCACTATGTGAGTCTAAAACATCCCAAATGATAAAAGGTATGTAAATATCTTCTATGTCAAAGTCCGTAGAGAAAATAATCAATGTTTTTATCTGGACAGAGAGCAGCTATTCTGCTGCTGCCTTATTTGGTAGGTTTATGTCACTATGGGAAACCAAAACCCATGATTTCAAACACTGAAGTCACAGATCAACGAATGTAGACTGACTGGAAGTAGCAACAGAGGATTAACATCAGCTAAGGACAGTGCATCAAATCTGCTGAGAAGGTACAGTAGAATAATTGTTGATATCAGACTCTATCAGGGGTTTACAGCTAATTGGTCATAATCTGACAGAGCTAATATCAGTTGCCACTCAGTTGGAGTCCTGAAGAACGCAAACAGCAATTTTGGGAATATCAACAAACTTTCTTAATGCATCAAAAGGCTAATGACAAAAGTCATTATAAATCTTTTGCTCAAGTGGAAACCCAGTCAGTTTTTGTAAGCAACAATTTACAACAGGTAGTACATTCGATTTTTAAAAATAAAAACATTGTACCTTCCTGTTGCTGCGCTAATCTAACACCTTCCCTTTCTCTCAAGACATATCTCAAATCTACTCAGTGACTGAAGACACCGCTGTCTATTCACTCCTGTGAAGCACTGATGTCCGAACCTTTAAAGTGCTGCATCTGTCTGGATGAGTTCACCAAGTCTGCTTCCCTCCCCTGCGGTCACTGCTTCTGCCTGGCCTGTATCGGAGAATACTGGCGGATCAACGTGGTCTGTCAGTGCCCCCTGTGCATGACCGTGTTCCTGAGCAGACCACAACTTAAGACGGACCCCGCCACAGTGCCTGAGGCCCCGGCTGAGGTTGTAAAAGCTGGTGAGGTTTCCTGTGATCTGTGTGCAGTGATAAAGCGTCGGGCAGTCAAGTCCTGCCTGGTGTGTCTGGCCTCCTACTGCGATGCTCACCTGGAGCTACATTACCAGAGTGAAGATCTTGGGCGCCATCTTCTAATCAGTGTGGTGAAAAACTTGGAGGGCTCTGTTTGCAGGGTGCATGGAAAACCTTTAGACCGCTACTGCAGAAGTGACCACGCGTGTCTTTGTACCATGTGTGTTCAGACAGAACACAGGGGTCATCACATTATTTCTGTCCACAGAGAAGCAGCAAAAAGGAAGGTACAGTGCTGAATAACTGTTAGACTTCACAACATAGAAGCAAAGTAGCCATAGGAAATTAGGTTTATGCTAATGTACTATGTCCTTGTGCTCCCTCTTGCAGATTAAACTAAAACGTCAAAAGACAAAGCTTGAACAAGTCATAAAAGAGAAGTTACATCAAATGGAGAAAATCATATTGTGCAGAGGCCAATGTAAAGATAATCCAACAGAGGCCTGGGCCGAACACAAAGAGCTGGTAAAGCAGCTGGAGGAAGAAGTGTCTGAGCTGCAGAGGAGGAACACTGAGCTGGAGCAACTTTCACACACTGAAGACGACCTGCACCTCCTACAGGTCAGTGGAGGCACCTGCAACAATCCATGCATAACAACAACAGTCAAACTAATCACAGATTTTTACCTGATGATTTGATAACCTTTGTCTCCACACAGAGACTTCTACACTCTCCTAACAACTGAACATAAAGATTCCTGGACTGAACCACAGAGGTCAAATATGGCTAACTTGAAGGAAAAGGATTTTAGTTTTCTTTGCACTATTAAAACATATCAAACACTGTATATTTGTTTTCTTTGTGTCAACAAAAATGTGCAATCAAACAGGTAAACTGTGTTTTTAAATATCGAGTTTGGTTTCACTTTCAATTCAATGCTAGATTCTCTGGTATGCTGACTTCCTCAATAACGAAAGTACTTAGCTCTTACTTTGAAAAGAAACTTACAGCACAAAGGAGGTAGGACTCACACACACACACACACACACTAACAATCACACAGAGTCACACACGGAGTAAGACAGACGGAAGTCACAATCTTCTGACAAGCTCTAAGGTAAAACAAATTTTGATATACTGTGAAAAATAACTACTTCTGTTATTACGTGATTATATAGCATGGGGTTGTTTTCCTTTTTATTTCAAAGGGAGTCTTTTTTCAGACTTGGACGTTTTGTGTTGCATATCATAGATAGAACACATCTTTATGCAGGTTATAAAGATGCGTCTCTCATAAGTTTCACAGATCATGATCTGGGATTTTGCTCTGCTTTTCTTGTTTCATATGATTTGTAATTTCTTAAATACATTTCCTGTAAAATAAACCTTAAACATTAAAAAAGAACTATTCTAAAGTCAAGTATTTCTCAAATACCTATATAGCAGAATGGCTGAAAATAATAGAGAATCACTGCTTTAAGGTGCCCATCACCTTTGTGAGCAGGTGGCAATTAACTTCTTTAACCACCAGGCAACCACTGCCCCACCATATCGGTTGATATCAGAATTGGAAATTAAGTGTTAGCAAAATTATTATCACCAACTAAACATCTTTCCTGCAAAAAAGTTAATCACATCAGTTGACCAATAAATGACCTGTTTCATTTTTTTAGCACTTAATAAACGTGTGATTGTGTTAAGATGACCAAGTAATTGATGACATAACTTGACAAATGAAACATTTCATTCATTCTCTTTTTAGTTCAACAACTTTTAACATTAATTGCTTGGTGACTGGAATGAGGCACTAAATGAAACTGGGTTCCTGTTTATAATACTTTTGTAGTGACTTGAGTAGGAACAATGCATGCACTCTCTTTTTTACTTGTATTTTTTGAAGTAGACATAAAAAAGAGCAAACAACGATCTGCTATTTTTTCTTTTTGCATTGTGTTGTGCACATAACTTCATCTGGTTTTGGAAAGTTGTGTCACCATTGCTTAAAAAAACAAAATCGAGGACTAGTCCTGCCGTCTGACCAGTAATCATGTTATAATGTCAATGCAGATACAAGCACCTAAAGAACATGAGCCTCCAGGTTTGCTCGTGTTGTGGTTGGTCCAAGGTGACCTCATACAAGGGCCTTCGAATTCACCAAGGAAAGATGGGATGCACACCGAAGGAAATAAAAATCTCTAAAAACCTGTTTGGACCCAGCAGCTACAGTCCTGATTTCACCTCGATTGGTCCAACAATCCAACTGCAGGAACCGGTGAAGGACATTTTCCCCACTTCCTTTACCTTGGGTGAGCTTAAGATTCCCTCTGAACTTTTTCATAAAACCACAGCCATAAGGTATATCAATAAAAACTATTTTAGTCACTTTGCTGGGAGAACCTGAAAGTTTGTCATTTTGGAGACTGACTAGGGGACATCAGTGATTTTACTTCACATATCCAATGGTGCTTTCATCATATTCAGTTCAGATGTTTACAGTTCCTCATTCTGAAGAATGTGGTGACACAAACGAAAGTTAGTGACAGTTCATCTGTCCCTCAGCTCATTAGCTGGTAACAAGGTAACTAATGTGTCTGTTACTATGGTGCCTGCCACCTGGTGGCAAGGAAATGAAAGACATTCATTTCTGATTGGTCTTTTGAATTGGACAAATTTGTTATGATAATGTCAGCAAAAAAACAAGTTTCTGCTTCAAGGATGACAGTAGAAAAACATCAATGCTTTTTATCTATTGTAATCACTATTCTTATTACAGTACATAGCAGGCAGCTGCTCAGCTCTCAAAATTACAATAGAAGAATAGCTTGAATATTCACAACAGAATCTAATTGTCTTTTATCTCTGAACCAGATCCATCATCAGACATCAGTCTGCAGACCTGCTACTGTGGCTGGTCCAAACTGACAACTTACCACGGCCTGAGAACTCACCAAGGGAAGATGGGATGCACACCCAACGGAACGAAGATTTCTGAGTTCAGATTCAGCCTTCCTCCAATTACTTTTAAAGAATCCACCATCCAACTTGAAGAGCCCACCCTGGACTTTTTCAATACTCCTGTAAAGTCTGGTAAGAGATGGAATATTCTGTTTTAACCTGTGCACTTTTAATTTAATTTATTCCTTTTAATTTTTCTAAATTTCTTGTTAATCTTTGGTAGTGTTTAACTGAAAGAACACAACACTGATTCAAGACAAAAACAACAACACTTCCTATGTGATCAATGTTAAAAGAAGAAAATGCCTGATAAGCAGTAAAAATATTGATTATTATATGGAACCACAGAGCCTGTTCTCATGGTTACTAATAGGAAAATCTGTTAAGGTGATATAGGCTACTGTTAGTGACCAGAACAAAGGTACCAAAAAGGTTTAGAGAGTAAGGGTGGAATAGAGTGATTACAGTTGTATACAGTACAGTAATTCAAAACAGCCTATGAGCCAGAATTGAACATTTAATGACCTGCTATGTACCATCCCAAACAGACTCATCGTCAGGTGTGAACCTCCAGGTTCTTGGCTCCTGTGACTCAGGGTTCACCACACACCAAACTCATCAGAAGGAATGCATTTTAGAAGACACAAAAGTCCTGGAGGAGAAAGTGTCCAACTGGAGAGGTCTTCAAGTCAAGACGGAGGTACGGTCAAAAGCTGCACTGTGCAAGCTCTAGTATAACTGCACAGTAAACTGTCTCTGATCCAGTTTCCTGGGCATAACACATTTTCTCATATAACCTTAATGGACGTCACCTAAAATAAATTCAAAGCATTAGTTTGCAACAGCTATTGTTTTCTAATAAGAAAGACTGAAGCATGAGCACACTTGCATGAACTTACTTTTCCTTCCACAGGCTCCCTCCTTCCTGCACACCCAGAACACCCAACAATTTCCAGCAGATGAAGTCCAGACAGATAGTGTGGAAACATGTAAGTGCTGTAGCAAAAAGGCAGGGGTGAAGTAGAAAAGTGGGTATTCATCAAAGCATCCATGTCTTTTCCCATTTTTGAATTGTGATACAGGACAAAATGTGTTATTCTTTTCCTATTTTTTGTGCAGGATTAAACTCTTACAATGCAGTGCAAGTAGAACAACAATTATAAAAATGCTTAAATAATAATCACATTCATCCCTACTCTTTTTCTTTAGTTTTCCTCACCCCCCAGCATTCACAACAAAGCACCAACAACTCTGCTAACGTTCGACGGGCACTCAATTTCTCCACTGGTGCACAACAGGTACAATGTGATGGTACAATATGTGTAGATTTAAAAAATGAACGATTTGTAGGTATTCTTCTATAAAACATTAATTACCATTACCATTTAAAGTGTGGCTGTTCAACATTTGTTATTGTATCATCCATTGCAGCATGAATGCCCTATCTCACTATTGGGATAGGGCATTCCCAAAAAAGTGATCCTATAATTTAGGTTAAAAAACCACAATCATTCTATAACAACTAGGAATTTAATTTTGGAGATGAGTATATACCCACTGGATACACAGTGGACACCAGCTACACTTTGAAATACCTCTGTAATTCTTCTGGGGTCTTTAAATACAACCTTGTACATGATACACCGAAAGGTAAATCTTTTTCAAGGCAAAGCAAAAGATAAAGGTGGTATAAATATACATTTTTATACCATATATTTAAACAAACTATCTATTGAAAAACCTAAAGTCTGAATAATGTCCCCGTATCACCTTAAATCTTTTGCTTTGCCTTATATTAAATATTTACTTTTCGATGTATTATGGATTGACATCGGTCTTCTTCGGTGCGATGCTAGGCTAGGCTAAGTTGATTATACCCCACCCTCCCCCTCAATGTCTGCATTCATATTGCATTCTTCCGTTTTTAAAACTTACATTTCACCCGCTTCCATTCTTGTTACAAACGCGGTTAATTTTTCTTTTTCTTTTTTCACATGGACGTCTTAAAGCCTAAAACCAAAACTGTTTCCGAAGCGTTTCGTCATCATACTGACGAACCAACGGCTCAGGGGCTACAACGCCAGCAGGAGGTGTGTGGATCAGCCCGCTCTGAGCATTTACAAGTAATGGACACGGGAGGGCGACAAAGAATAGGTCAACCACATAATGTAAGTAAGCGGAAAGAACTAAAATAAAGAATACAGTATATACAATATGGTCATCTCACGAATAGAGATATCCCTCACTGCAGTGTTTTAACTGCTTAAATTTGGAAGAGTCCATACAGTCGGCCATAGATCTGAATGTCAATTGCAAGTTCAACTGACACTGTTCTGTACCACACATTTATATTTATTTATTATATTTATTTATTGTCTTAATCTTAGTCTTAGTCCTAATGTGTTTTTAAAAACAACTTTGAAATCCACAAACCTTTGGCTTGGGAACAGCAGTGGGGGGACAACAAGCGGGTTTGATGGGCAGCCAAGACTGAGTAAATTTGTCTCCTTTGGCACAGGCACAGGTGTTTGGCTGGCCTCCTACCACAACAGTTCAAGAGGCAGCATTTGGTCCAAAGGACATGGAACAAGAAGCTGAAAAGGTATTTCACTTCATCTTTCAACATTTGTATTTGGAACCAGCATAATTCAGTCAGGTTCAATAGCTGCCCACCGAGTCACTTTACTGACTGAAAACACTCATAAACATTCTAGGACATAAGAAAATGATAAATAAAGACATTGACCTGGCCTTTCTCACCCACCTAGACCATCAGATTTACTGTATTTAGTTTCATGCCTTCTTCACACAAGATGATGGGAGCTATGTAAACTCTGAGCCAGTATCAAGAATTTAGATAATACAAATGTCCTGACAGGAATGCGGTCATGAAGACTTTGAAAAATGGAAACCTGAAAGATTTCTTCCACTTCTTTTGATCAGTAAAGTCTCTGAGATAACAACAGATATTTTCTATCATCTATTCAAGGGAAGAAAAGACTTTAAGAAGGCTGAGATGCAGCAGAAAATTCTGACCAGGGAAAAGATGGTTGCTGAAGTCAGATCGTCTTTAAAGAACTGCAAGGTAAGCTGCAACTAAATGTTGCTTTTGAACAAAAAAACACTCTGTTTATTATTTGTGTAACCTAACTTCTGCCCTGGCTGTTTCAGGTTCTCTTAGATGCCCAGTGGGTGGAGGTCAACGACACATTCTCAGAGGTGATCAAAGTTGTGGAGAAGGCTCGACAGAAAGCCCTTCAGCCTCTAGAGGAAAGGTAAAGGTCTGCAGTTGATAAAACCCACCACTAGCTCATGATGAATTCACGATCTAATTCAGTAAGAACTAAAGTTCCACAGTCACATGACTACTTCAGTAGAAAAACCAGGGCTGGAGGTGAATTGGTGATGAAATTAGAAATGTGTGTGTAACCACTGCTCTGTACTACTACGTACTCACAGGAGGAGAACGGTGAAAAGGGAAGCACAAGATCTGGTCGAGAAACTGGAGAAAGAAATCAACCATCTCAAGAAGACCATTGAGGATTTGGACACAAACCCAGACTCACAGGTGACCTCTGACCTCTGATATCTAACCACACAGCTGTCTTTGACTAATATCTTCCACTTTACAACCAAAACATATTTACCTTCTGTTCACAAATCCCACAGTTCTCTCTGGATAAGTATCACGAGCGGATCAACGTAAAGCTTGATACTTCATTCTCATTTGGCTCTCTGAAAACGACCACGTCTGCCATGATGGAAGGCATTCATCAGAAACTAGAGAAACTCTCGACTGTGGGTGAGTGCTCTCCTATGGTGGTCGGATCTGTTAACAAAGATGCAGAAAAGGTTCAGAATCAGGCGGATAGAGCGGCTTTGTTTTCTTGAAGACGTTTCAACCTTCATCCAAGAGACGTCAAAGGTGTTTCTGTCTGCACAGGAAATGTTATGTCAAGGAAATTTTTTAAGAAAGTTTAGTTTTTAGACATATACTTCTTGTGTTCCCACTGTGGTTTAAGCACATTGATGTTTGATTGTTAGATTAAGACAAAGGCATCCCATAATCAGAGATTGTTGTTTTTTTTTTTTTGTCTTTACAGAACTCAGAAGATTCTCCAAATTCACAGGTGACCCCATCAACAGTTGGACATTTTATTGCTTGCCACAACTTTACTTCATCATATTAAAAATAATAATACAACAAAATAACTATGACTTGTTTTAGAGTATATTCAATGTATATCGTTCTGTTTTATCCCATCCCCTGGTCTTTATTTGTCCTTTTTCACACAGAAATGTGATAAGCATCATTTAAATGTGTGTGTTACCAGGAAATACTGACTCATCTCACCATTTTCACCCACTTGTTGGTTTTAATGGTGCTGTGTATGAATTCATCTGAATGATATGAACCTGGTTATATCTCTAATACTGTGATGTATTGCAGTGGAAGTGAATTTGGACCCCCTGACTGCCCACCAGTGCCTTGTCCTGTCTTACGATGGGAAGAGAGTCAAAGACGGAGGAAAACCCAAGACACTTCCAGCGACTCAGGAGAGATATGACATGTATGGAAGTGTCATTGCGGTCAAGAGTTTGACCTTTGGAAGGTCCTATTGGGAGGTGGTGGTGGGAAACAAACCTGGTTGGGACCTGGGTGTGGCACGAGGTCAGGCAAAGCGCAAAGGCAAGATTTCTCTAAACCCCAACGACGGCTACTGGGTGATTGTCCACTACGAGACGGAAAAATACGCTGCTCTGACAGCACCACCTATCAGCCTGTCTCTCAGGGAGAAACCCAAGAAAGTGGGCATGTTTGTGGATTACATGGAAGGTCTGGTGTCATTCTACAACGTGACAGCTAAATCTCACATTTACACCTTCACAGGTTGTTCATTCAGTGGTGAGATCTTTCCGTACTTCAGTCCTCATCTGAACCAAGATGGTGAAAATGCAGATCCTCTGATTATCTGTCCTTAAACACAGTGCAGGAGTTATTACAGTAACATTTGTAGAATTGGTGGTTTACATTGTAGGCATAATTTTAAATGGTAAATAACAGTCAACAATCAGTCTATGCAGATAAAAAGGTCCACTCACTGTGGGACTATTTGAATGGTTTAATGCATATTGAAATCACACTTTTTTCTTACTTCTTTCTAAGGTTCAGGGTTCTCGTTCTGTTACACATTTTGTAATCATAATTCCAACTATTATCATTCCATTTTTGTAGCATAAGAAAATACTAAATGTCCTTTCAATAATTGTATTTGATAAATAATGACACATTTGAATAGCTAAGAAACATTTGTATCTTTTTATCTTACTAAAAAATGCTTTAATAAAAGTCCAAAAAATATCAGTATGTGGTTCTTGTCTTGTTTGGTTACGTTTGGTTGACTGTCACTGGATGTTTCATTTAGCATTTGCAATTGTAACAACCATAATTTTATTTTTAGGATAATAAACAAAAAAAAGTTGAAATCACTAAGAAGGGAACTTGAATGAACTTACACAGACATATAATAACATTTTAGCTCAAATTAAGCAATAATCATCCCTAATTAGTCTAACATATCTAAAAATGAATACGCCGTTAGCACACTTTCAGGGTAACACATTTTCTTTAAAAAACAGTTTAATTTTAATTCTAAATTGCATTTCTATTTCTTTTAGATTCCATGGACTTTTTGTGAATTTAGGAAAAAACAGTGAATAAATAATAAAAACAAATTTATTATTTATTCACTGTTTTTTCCTTGAAGTCTTGAAAAAAGCTATTTAGTAGAGTGGGACTTCTCATCCAGGGTGGACACAAGTGCAGAAGGAGAAGGGACATACAGGACAAGTGCTAGGACAGGAGCTGCTCCTGTAGAGCTGGGACACCCCCGTTCTGGTGGTGCTCGGTAGCATTCCACCATACACACCCATCCACACTAACATTCACACCTTCAGTTCATTTAAAGTGAACATAACCCCAAAACAATATTTTCTCTGCAAGAGGAACTCAGTTTCCAGAGAAGCACCCAGCCACACAGAGGAGGACAAGCTAAAACCAAACAGCTATCTACATACTGTATACCAGCGTGCAGCCCACGCTGGTATACAGTATGATATACATGTCTTGGACACAGAAATGAAAAAAGAAAGAAAGATAAAATTAATAAACCAATTTGATGTTTATTTTTTTTATTTTAAACTTGATGAAGCAGAAAACCACTGAAGCTGCTCAGTCTGTTAGCTGCCCAGATGTGAGTATTTGCCACCAATTGAACAAAGACACTGTCACCTTGTTGTAGTTGCAGAATCGCAGCATTGGATCCATTATCTGCTCCATCGTGTGAAGACGAGTGGTCGTGGGTTCCCACCACACACTCACTGTTCTTGATCATATTCAAAGTGGATAGCTTGTTTCCTCCAGCGTGGTAGAAGAACGTGAAGTAGTAAACGCCTGCTACAGGTGCAGTGAAAATACCTGTGGACACATAAGACATAATAAAGACATATAAAATGGACATATAATAAAGAAGCAACAAACCAATAAGCCAAGCAATTACCTGTGGATGGGTTGTAGCCAGAACCAAGGTTGAGGATCACATTGTTGTAGACTAAGGTAGTGTCTGTGCTTAAAGGGCCCATGTGTCCAACGTAGTTCAGTAAAGCACTGAAACTGACCTGAGTGTTTGCTGTGTGTGGAGACAGTCAGAACAAACAGTCAACACAGAACTGACTGGAAAACAATTAGACTAAAAAGGTCTATTTGTGAGAAGAAGTAAGCAGATTTGTCCCCCAGATACAGTAGCATCTACTCTGTTCAGCTAAGCGCAGAATATGACGCAAAAATCATGTATTCCTAAAAAGATAATCAGACTGTTTAAAGGCCAAAAACACGCTGCACAAAGTACTACAACTCGTTCTTGATTAAGTATTCAATAAATTGTGAAATCGAAAAGAAAGAGAGCTAATATATATATAAAGACAACAGTGTAGATGGCTGCACAACCGACCGCAGTTCCCATGAGAAAACTTCCAAGAATCGTTCAATGGAATGAATCCCACCGCCACCGCCAGCACCCCGGAAAATAAACACACCACGATCCGGAAGCACAAGCCACGTGACTGCTACACGCGTGACGTAATCATAAATTCATTTACGGTTCATTAGCATAATGTACATCACATACTGTATACCAAGGGAGAAATCTGTTCTGAATCTGAATCTGTTCCTACAGTCCAGCACAACAGTATGTTCTACGTACCACTAGAGGGAGCACCTGTACCACATTTACTGTAACATATCTTAGGGAACGCTGTTAAAATACGAGTTTAAGGTTTAGTGCAAGTTAAGGGGAATTTCCTTAACTTGTTTGTATGGTGTTTTTCAACATTTAAGAAATTCGTTTTGAGAACTTGCCCCCTGGTGAGGAGCACACTCCTGTTAATTTATTTGACTGTCTTTTCTAAACTTTGGAGTTTTGTCAAACTACGCCAGAAACAAATATTTTAAGATTAAAAATAATGTTGAATGAAGTACTACACAGACATTACATAGACAGTACTATGTAGACATTAAATATGTGACAATGTGTTCAAATAACAGTATTAGACTCTGCAGTACCTTTGTTTTTCAGTTCTTCAATCTGCTTTGAACTTTCCTTCTGTTGGTTTTCCAAAACTCTTATTTTCTCCTCCATGGAACCAAACTGTTTCAACAGACCACAAATGTCGGTGCAGTCATTCTTCTCAGTGGTCTGTGTGTTAGCATATTCGGCAGCGTCCTGGGCCAGGGTCAGGCCACGTAGTAGAACCAAAGACCAAAACATCGTGCTGGAATTGTCAGAAGATTTGATCACTTCTCCTGCTTTTATGTTGACACGTTGATGTGAGTTAAAGTTCAATCGATTTTTCTTATCTGTGCTGTCTGTGTGGGGAAAAAAACTCCAACTGTTATCTATTTACAGAGAAACCCTGTCTGAACCTGTTTGTGTACGTGTAGGTGTGTGTGTAATCTCTAACTTCCATGATGAAGCAAACACAGGCAAACTAATCACGTTTCAGAAAATTAGGACTCAATCATATTTATTTATGTGTGTATAATGTTAGTGTGTGTTCCTTCTGTCATAAAAAAAATCAGAAGGGAGGAATTATTTGGATTAATCTGTGAAGTCCAACATAAAAAACAATTAGATTAACTGTGTCTAGGGTCAGCTCTATATTCTTAAAACTTTCAGAAAATATTTATATGTTCTAAAAAAGTTCAATTTGAGTTTTTTTTGTTATAAATGTAAATATCGTATCTTAACTTCCTAGCAAAGTATAAATTTGGAATAATTATCAAAACAATACAGACAATACAGTTGTTAGTCAAGTCATTATGGAGTAGTGACATTTGTACAGCCTTCCAGGTACAACCTGGCCTCTGAGGGAGCCATAGTACTGATGTGACCATAACTTTGACTCCCTGCTGGACAGACACCGTCTTTTCCCCCTGAAACTCATAGAAGTTATCAACATCATGTTGTTTGGTTCCACACAGAATGAATTCACATTTGTATAGCATGTGTGTGTGCGTGTGACTCACTATCATACCTGCAGTTCAGATGTCTGGTACATCATGACGACAAGAGTCAGACAGTGGTGGCGGCTCAGGACACAGCCCTTCATCTCTATATTATTCAATGTATGGTTTCATTCATAGACACTTGGATTATTAACTTTTAAATTGTGAGACAACACAATATTCTCTGTTTATTTAAATATGAACAGAAACAAACAGAGTTTGATTTGTGTTAAAAAAAAAAACAAGCTAACAAAGTCCGGTTATACTGAGTTTATTATCTTTTTTTCTTACAAATTGTACAAGGAAGTGTTTGTTTCTCCTCTCTGCCAAGTAGAAAACATGTAATTAAAACAAGATTACAGTAAAAGACAGAGAACGTGTTGTCCAGTACCTTATAAAAAGTCAGGGAAGTTGGCCTGCATTTGCCTCTGTGTCCATATGCGTTATGAACTTCAGAGGTGTTTCTCTTCTACTTCCAAACGAACCTGCATCACCGACCCACGGTAAAAAAAAAAAAGAAAAAAAAAAGATTTCCCTCCAGGGCCACAGTGTTTGTCCCTCAGGAAATGTACAAACAAGCAAACAGACAATATGTTTGCAACAGGATGTTACAAAAGATAGAACTATTTCTAGTTTTAGCCAAGGAGGCTACATTCTATTCATGTAGAATACAAATGTAAAGACATTTATTCATCATCATCATCATCATCATCATCAGCGTCGTCACCATCATCATCGTCGTCATCATCATCATCATCATCATCATCAGCGTCGTCACCATCATCATCGTCGTCATCATCATCATCGTCGTCGTCATCATCGTCGTCATCGTCATCGTCGTCGTCCTCATCATCGTCGTCGTCGTCATCATCGTCATCGTCATCATCATCATCATCATCGTCGTCATCATCGTCATCATCATCATCATCGTCGTCGTCATCATCTTCGTCGTCATCATCGTCGTCATCGTCATCGTCGTCGTCATCATCATCGTCGTCGTCATCATCGTCGTCATCATCATCGTCGTCATCATCATCTGGGTCGATCTTTCCTGACAGGACGTCCTCAATCCACTGCTCCAGCTCATCAGCAGTGGGCATGTCATCATGGTCATCCATGTCCAGCCACACGCTGTCCGCCTGCAGAGGAAAGAGAACAGGTGTGGACCCCTATGAACCAGAATGAATAAAAACAAAACAGAGTGTTGGCCACGGGCTCAGCTGTCCTCTATGACCAACTTTTTAGCAGCCATCTTGGATTTAAATTTGAGTAAAGTTAGCCTGAAAAGGCTAAGCTACAGAAGTTTAGAGTCTACATCACTGTGCCAGTTCTGTAAAACAACTACATCACACAGTGATGCACTCTTGCTCTTCATGGCTTTGGATATTGATGAGGCTGCACAGTTAGGACCTCTGATTAGAATTCCATTTTGTTGCATTTTACATGATGAAGTGTGTGTTAAACAAGTGGAACCAACAATCTTCACACTCATCACTCCATGAACCAAATAATTTAACGTAGGACACAAAAGGAAACATGAACCACGTCTTACATCCTCGACGTCCACAACACCGATCTGTGGAGAGGAGAGGTCGATGCGGAAGGTCTTCTCCCAATAGGGAACCAGCTGAAAAAGACAAACAAAAGGAACATGTTATTTATCCTGACATGTTGATGAAAAATGATGATGTACTAATACAGCAGATGCTAAAACCTATATATGTTTCTCATCTAAGTTCGTACCAGTGGGAAATCGTCAGGGTCAATCCAGATGACGCTGAGGTTGGGGTTGTCGGTGTTCTCACGAGCCACTTCCTTCAGGATTTCAAGGAACTCAAAACCGTCTAAACAAAGGTTCAGACAAAAGGTTCAAACAGTAGGAAATATTACATAAGAGGTTATTTTTGAAGGTCAAGAGTATACCAGGATCATCTTCCTCAGCAAAGGCCACAATATGTTCTCCATTGATGTCATCCTCCTGTCAACAAACACAGGGACAAGAATGAGGACAAAACTGTGGTCTCATCACCTAACTGCCAAGATGACCACTCTTCACCAATTCTTACCCAGATCTCATACATGCTGTGAGGCTCCAGCTTTCTCAGTGTGGGCCTGAAACAACCAATCGAATATTTTATTATTATTATAAGATGAGCAATTGATTGGATTTTAATTTTACTTAATACTAGAGTTGCAACTATTACTACTACTACTACTATACACATGTCAGACAGAAACTCAGACAGAAAAGTCCCACGATCTGCAGGTGATGATTTCGCTCAGATTTTAGTCAGAAATAGCCTTTCAAAAAATATTTTGAAACAAGATCAATGTTTTTGACCTGCAGGGTTAAAAAAATACTGGACATCAGCAGATTTCAGCGGACAAAGTCCAGTAATTATCGGATGACAAAAACCCAGATGAATTAAATGAAGCCTCGAGACAAAGGGTTTGCCTCAAACAATTTTTGTAATCAAACTACCAAGTTGCCCAAATAATCATTTCAGACCTACTTTATACCGTTTTTACTTAAGTCAAGAAGTTTTGTTGTCAAAATAATCTACTGTTACCTAAAGTTAATATTAAAAAACCAACAACTTAGAAAAATACAATCAAATTGAAAGAAAAACCGACAAAGGTGAAAAAGCTAAAGGTTAGCTTTAAAATCTGTTAAGAAAAACTCTTATGTCTCACAACAATGAAGGAAAGAGAAAAGAAATGTGCTAAAATGAAGAGCACTGGGCACTGGGAAAAAATAAAATAAAAAACTGTTTATAACTGCAAAAAGAATAGTTTCAGTTAAAGACCTGACCTGTCATGCTGCTCGATGAATTCCACCAGCTCAGACTCGATGTAGGGTTTTCCTGGGATGGGCACCGGCTCCTCCATGAAGGGCTCATAGAAGTCCACTTCGTTAATCTTCAGCTTCAGCTTTCGGGCGATCTGGAATTAAACACTCAACCTGAAGAGCAGCATGAAAACGGATTTATTAAAATTTGTTTAGTGATACATTACAAAGAATACAAACCTTGGGGTCAAATGTGGCGAAGAACTTGACAAAGGGGTGAAACTCTTCTGCAGCATCGTCATACTCAATGAAGTCTGGGACGAGAAGATGGTGTTAATTATTGACTGGTTTAGAAACAACAGAAGGGACATTTTTTGGGTGTGCAAATGGTCAAAGATACTCAAATACTGTACTGTAGAGCAGAGGTCATGGTCTGCGCATGTTACTGTATAAAATGGCTTTTTAATTCCCATTAAAATGCTTTTAATGGAAATTAATCATATCAGGACCGCACTTTTATTTAGTTGTCCGCTCCTCTCACATCGTGCAACATTAGCGCCAAGTCTAACAAACAAATTCAGGTGAAGACAGACTCTTGACATAGCTTCCAGCATGTCTAGTAATGTGTGTGTAGTTGATATACAAATGCAGTACATTCAAGTTAATAGTACTATACTCCTGAGCCTCCACCTACGAGAAGATCTTTCACTCTTGAAGTAGCCCACCAGCTTGATGACCTCATCCATGTTGTAAAAGCCCTTTAGCTCACGCTCATTGTCGATGATCTCCACAGGCTCTTCAATCACCTGACAACAGTCAAACTTGGTTAGCGCCTGTGCCATCAACACTGTGGACGTCACATGATCAGGCGTCACGGATCACGTACGTCGTAGATGAACTCCACCAGGGTGTCAGCCGCCAGCTCGCCATCGTACTCGATGATTTCATTGTCCACAAAGATGTAAATGCTCTCCACCTCATCCAGACCTTGGAGACAGGAAACAGTTTTCTTCATCTTACATGTTCCACCAACATACACTTTAGGTCATAATTGTTAATGGTCTAGAAAACAAAAGATATTTTTTTCGGTGCTTTGACTAAAAAATCATTGAATGAATTGTCATGTCTAAAGATGTGTACAATTGACCTAAGAACCTAAGTTGTACGAGAACCAAATGACAAAAGCACTGAGTTAAGAGAAGAAAGAGAAGTTAAGAGAAGAATATTTGAAACTCACAAAATGCCTTAAAGCAAGGATAAATGTTTCTTTTTTAAAAATCTGTCTGTTATTATATAGATACAGTATATACTGTATATACTGTATATATATATATATATATATATATATATATATACTGTATATATATAGAGTATATATATACAGTATATATATACAGTATATATATATATATACTGTATATATATATACACAGTATATATGTTGTTTCTTTTAATTGGCGAAATAAAAATTCGATTTTACCGGTGAACACTTGAGGGCGGCATTTCTTTACCCGAATGTAGTGATTCTTATTCATTTTTATTTATTTATGAATTCACTATTTTATCACCGACGTGAATAATAAATATAAAAAATGTAAGTTGATTATTGCGTATGAAACTGAATCAATGGCAAGGCAAATATGTCCCAAAAGTTAAAAACCTCTTATTGATTATTTCTAGTAAAATATTAGGCAAAGACACATTCTACTTAGTGCCTCCCTGTTTTCAAAGGGAATCAGTTAGTAGAATAAATATAGCAGTAAGCCTCTATGCTTACTGTTTATAGTTACAGAGTTAACTACTATACATTACATGGGGCAATTAAAAGACCAGAGTTATTATTGTGCAGATGTTCCAGGTGGGGGACATGACACTGATTGTTTCAGTCAGTGTGACATGGTGCTTGTCAAAGTATAGAATTTCCTGGCCTTGAAACAGGAGTAAGATTTGCAACCAAAAGAATATTGTTGTTGTCCCATACTAATCAGAGCAGTAGCAGCAGGCTTACCCAGCCTCTTAGCAACAGCAGAGTCTTTCTTTTCATCCACAAGGCCGAATCCAATGTCCTCATCATCCAGATCGTCCAAGACTTGAGCCGCAAGCTGGACAAGACAGGTGGGGGACGCAGGGGGCAGAGTTGGAAAAGTGAAAGTTGTGTTTAGTTTCATGCAAGTGCTAATTTCAGCTTGTTTAGTCTTAGAGAAAACGATTCATTTACGCGCAAGTTAAACCCTGGGCATTTTCATCTCACTTTCAAGGCCTTAAAAGCAAAAGCACAGGATCGCTGCCTTGCACTTTCTATATTGGAGTGAAACCAAAGCCAACAAGAGAGAGAGCGGGGGGGAAAGAGAGAGAGAGAGAGAGAGCATGAAGAAGAATGGGTATAGAGAGCCACTCCAAGAGGCTCCTGTGTGTTGTGCATGCACACACATATTTACAGACAGTGTTAATGAACAGACGTTGCCATACGTCAGTGTCTGTGTATATTGAAGAAATATGAGGTCACAGCAGCCAGAGAAGCAGCACTGCAGGGATATTCAGCAGCAGCACAATCACCTCGAAGCACCAGCTCTAATAACTTGTAGAATCATGTGACAGGAGGTTGAATATGAAAACACTGAGAAAGGACAGAAAGTTGCAGTCAACCACCAGGTGGCAACTGCACAGTACAAGCTGCACAAATGTTGTTGATAGTTGATCTTATATTCAAGTAGCAAAACAATCTTTTGCTGATTTTTCCTGTAACAAGACTCCTATTTGACACCATCAGCTGACACATGTAGTATTTACTTGTGCTTTAGAGCAGGGATCACCAACTATTTTTGAGGTGGTGGGGACACTGAAATAAAATGAAATAAAAATGTAATTTTTGTCTAACATTATTATTTTATTGTTATTTTAGAATCCAGTCAAGGGGCCCCCGGTTCATCATCCCTGTTTTAGAGGCTTTTCCCCATCAATTATGACAGTTTTACACATTTAAAATCTTGATTTAATAAAACTAAACCTACAAATGTAAACCCTTTACTTCTGGCCTTTAAACTCTTGTTCAAACCATATCAATACGTGGGCAGAAATCCAGGGAAGGTGCCCTTTGGTGGTTGACAACAACTTTCCTCCTACTTTACTCGCTTTCCCTTTGAAACCAAAGTCTACGTCCGCTTGTATGATCTGTACAATGTTGTTCCCATCAACAGCACCACCCATCCATCACAAAGACCAAAAAGCGAAAAATGCATGAAAAAGTCCAAACTCCCCAAAATGTAAAAACACTTCACATTCAGTTTTACTTTTCCGTCTCACACACAGCTGGAACAGCCCAAAGCTGCTGCTGGACAATGATGGCAGGTCAGTCTCCGTTGGTCCTTGATATCTAAATTGCAGTCCAGGAGTGGGAGAGGAACAACAAGCAGATTCTGCAGCTGGCTTCGAACATACACAAACAGGAAACAGAGACCTGAACATACCTAAAAAGGTACTGGTGACTGCTTCACTTGTGATCAACTGCAAGAAGAGGTAACGCTTTAGGTCAAAGCACAATAGCCACAGCCTCCAGATTTACAACAAAGGGGAGGAGCCTTCACTGGAGACAGAACAGGACCATACTCCAAACGCACCGATTGGATTATCAACTCCGAGAACAGGTTCCCGAGCATGTGGTTTAACTTGTGATAACCTGATACTGCTTGAACCCCTTTAACATGGTACATCAACTAGGGATGCTTGACCTGATTCTCAGGAAGGTATCAGTCAGATATTGGTCAAAATTTCAAGATCGAACATGAACAACACAAGTATAGCCTGTCCGATCCGATACTTAAGCCCACATGCTCAACTTAACTTTGTGCGACATACTGTACACAAGGACCCTATCACCTCAGCAACGGCAGCCCACAACATGCTGAAGGAGAAAAGAAGGCATTGGATTGATATCAGTATCAGCATATACTACAAGTTGCAGTATTGGTATTGGACATGAAAATGTTGTCAAGCCATCCGTACGTTTAACAGAAGTCTTTTAGAATTTTCTAAACTTTTTCTTATATCCTACTGTAATCAACTTTTACCATTTATCTATAAAGATCAGGACATTTGAAGGTGTTTTCAGATCAAACAGTCAAACATTAGCTGCAGAACTCAACTGTGTGGTTTTGCACAGAAATGTCAATAAACCAAATCACAAGAAAAAAGTAATTGTATTCCATTGATAAATGTAACGTGCAAATCTTTATCCCTGTGTCCACGATTGTACAACTTGGATTAAAGAAAGACTGATTCCAAATATAGTCTTTGCAATTTGAGTCTTTAATGGATCGAAATGACAATGTTTTCTCTAACAAGACATTTACAAAAAAAAGATACTTGTTATTTATTCTTGTGACCAATAAGATAAACAATGTGTAATAAAAAAACAAGTGAATTCTTCTTCTACACTGTTGTAGATCATTTATTCTCCTTTTTGTTCATGTCTTCTACTAACCCTAAGGCCAGAGTAAGTCATGATTCATAATTCCCAGCTAGAAGAGCGCACGGCCTTCTTAGTGTCACTGGGGTATTTATAAGAGCTGAAGCTGTAAGCAGCTATATAAGGGTGTGTCAGAAAAGCATGTTGAGGAGGAGAACACAAGCCCGAGATCCGTTACTTATAGAAAAGGGTGTGGAAAGAGGCATGGCTGGTGAATGGAAGACGACACCTGACACTTCATGATATCTATCAGGTCCTGAAGACGTCTCCAACGCTTCAAACACAAACCACTACTACTGTCAAACACTTCTAACTGTATTAAGTCTATATCTAACATAAGTCCAAACCTTATTTTTATTGACACTTGACAACTTCTCAAGCCTACAATCAAAGAGCACACCTCACTGAAGTTTTTATGTCACCTTTTATTAGACCACAGCTGAACTACAGTCCACTATCTAAAATAAAGAACTTTAAAGAACCAACTACATTCTAATGTTACCAGTGTTTGGTTTATGATTCTATCAGTGTAACCAATGTTAGCTTTTAGAAGTTAATATTTTCATGATTTCACAGAAGCCATGTTAGCCTAACGTAAGTATTTTTCCTTGGATTTTGCAGTTTAGCAAATCAACAACAGCTCAACCATTTTTCCTGTTATTCCTAAAAGGAAAACACAAAACTAGACAAAATTCTAGCCAAGATCTCCAGGAAATATAAATGTGTACGTTTGCCAAACACTTTCAACACTTTTACAAAACCCTATTCAATTAATTTCAAGGGCAAGTTTCAGCAATCAAATGAAAAACGGTACTGAGTCATGTCTTCATCTGTCCTTTATCTGTCCCACAGTTAACAGCCACGGACCAAACTTCACAGAGTAGCCAAGCCTTGAGTAGCATCAGTGTAACTCCTTGGCTTCTCTTATGCCCAGTCACCGTCCACTTGTCAGGTGACACGATTCAGTGGCAGTGTGCCACAGTGAGTTGTGAAAACTGTGCTTGGGGTCAGTGCAGAACTTGGCAGCAAATAATGAGCCACGGGGGGAGGAGACCCAATCATATTTCTTCTAATGTGGTGGTCTGTAAGCCTCACCCTGCAAATACATCCATCTAATCATTGTACCTAGTTAGCCAGAATTCACATTAACTCACAATAATTAGCCATAGAATATGTATTCTGAGTTATCACACTACTAGTAGTAGCAATTAGTTATAGGGCTGGGTATTGTTAAGAATATATAAATATATTTAAAATATATAAAAATCTCTTCACTGCTAATGTTATTCCTTTCCCTCCATAGTTGTTGTGTACCCCGGGTTTCCGTCTGTGCCCAAGGTGCATTCAGGTTGACTCTGAAATTGATATAACTATATTGATAACATATATTGATATATGTGGAATTTACCGGCGCAGACAGGCCAGAAGAAATACACAAATATGTGCATCAATAAATTATATCTAACGCACCCTGAACTTAGCACAGTCAGTGCAGTCACATCGCAAATATTTCTATTGGACCATCAACATGAATCTGTGAATCTCGCCATCCATACTATGCAGTACTTGCTGTGAAACATTCATGTAAATGCTATTGTGAGGAAATATTTAAATGGAAGCAAACCTACAGGCACACACTCAGTCTTACACTAGTCCACTACTAGTATGATTATGAGAGAAAACAAATCCATAACAGGACTGTGCCCTCTTACTTGTGGATATTCTCAGTCATCCAGGTCATCATAACAATTTCAAAAGCAGTTTTTTAAAAGTAGGCAACTGGACTCACCTCAAGTAAATTGAAGACGTCTTCAATTTACTTGAGGTGAGTCCAGTTGCCTACTTTTAAAAAACTGCTTTTGAGACTGTGCACTCTTGTTTATTTCATTTTTAATTTTTAATTTTTTTTTTTTTGAGGCACAACATGGTTATTCACAGGAGAAGGTGTGAAACACGGGGAAAGATTTCAGAAAACGCACAGGCTGAAGTGTCTGCGGAGCCATCTGTGAGTGACTCACTTCAACAGTAATCAGCCACATTACAAACGTGTCACAGAGCAGCCACCATTCGTCAAGCTTGTTTGGTCACGTTGTATGCTGCAGGTGTTCAGAACAAACGTATCTGAACGTATCAGACAACAAGCAAAGGAAAGTGTTAAGAGCTAATTGGGATTTGTCGGCAGCTGTGAAAACATGCCAACAGGGCTTGTGTTTAGAGAGTTATTACATGTTTAGGGGCAGGTTTTTTAAATATATTACTGCGGTAGATCAGACTCTCTGTATGTCTCTGTATATTGCTAGCAGATTCAGCAGATGGTTTTGTCTCCTTTGTTCAATTATTAGAGCACAAGTAATAAACCCTCAGGAACCAAAATTTGATTTAATTGATTTCCCATATGGACTTGACCTGTTAGCCTGTTTGAATCCAGGATGATTTGAGATCATGTGATCTAACACCAGTGTAAATGCAGAACTATATGTATTTGCTTTAGAGAAAAAAGGCAATGAACAAATTGCGTCATGTTTACATTTTTTACCAACATCATCTAAAGTTTAATAATAAGACTATTTTAATGAACTTTTATACAATTTATAACATTTAGCAATTTCTCAATTAGTGTTATTTAGTAATCTAATTTTCATTGACCAAAATTGGCTCATTTTAAGCTGTTTTAGTTATTTTTGAGTCTATTCCTAGACCAGCTTTCAGTTCATTACGTATTATGTATTAAATACATTTAGCATTTAAAACATACCAAAGGCAGGGGGAGAATAAAGGGCTGGTGCAAAAATCTCTGTTCTCTTTCTCTAAGACTTTAGATTAAAAAATGTATGGTCTTGGTGTGTGTATGTGTGACCGTTACTTTAAACCTCAGTGGATGAGACTGGAAGTGTTCTCATTCCATATATTTCTACTGTCATGTTTTATAATATTGGAATAAAAATATATATAAAAAAATAAAATCACTTGTGAATTAACTCATGCTTCTCTCTGCATCAGGAGACTCTCTCTGTGAGACGCACAGATCAATAAATCACGGCTCGTTTTTCTATTCAGGAACTTCTACTGTGATCCTGAAAATCTAGAATTTCAGTATATGAGACACTTTGTGTTTACAGCCACTTTAGCAGCTACGTGACAAAGCGCTTTTATAGGGTAAATGCTAACATCAGCATGTTGAGAATACTGCTCAGGATTCATCTTCAAGATATTTTTAGGGAGGTTGATATACCACACGTGGAACAGAATTCCATTGCAGTTTCTCTAGTGACAGTCAAAATGCAATTTAAATATTTTTTGGGAAAACGTTTGATCAAATCCTGTGTCTTCCCTTTCGCCAGCTTTTCTTATTTACTGAGATAACTGTCATTTTTGCAAACCTTTGCAAGAAATGTTGCTACGCATTTCTGGCCTAATTTAAAGCTATGTTTATACACTTGAATATGTCAAAGCTGTTTAAAAGTTATTATTCTAAATTGTTACCTCTTATATTAGTTATTTAGTTCTAGCTATCTCTTGATATCTTGGCCATATTTATCTTCTTGTGACTTTGATTCATCTAGTTTTGTTACTATGTTTTGTGAACATTTCTCATGAATAACATTTTGACTGAAATAAAGGATCATGTTCATATAAAACAAATAAACTGAATGAATTTTTAAAAAATCTGGAGGGTCCATAAAGTGACATAGCAACATTGTCAATCAGTGTGTGCAGAGAGAGGGTGGGACGGAGTGTGCGTGTTGATAAATAGAAAAAGATCGCTGCAATCTGAGCTGCATGGTGATGAATGAGTGACAGTTTTTAACAGCATGACAAAAGTCAGAGGTCAAAGAGAGTGAGGGATCGGGATCAACGTGATTGGCTGAGTGTTGTATCAGCAGCAGAATTCTTAAAGTTACTGAGGCTCTCTTGTAATTAAATGTTATGATTTACAGTCGGTCTGTGCCCACTCACACGTCACTTGCTGCAGAACATTTGGCTGCAGATTATTTTAAAGCTATGAAACACTCACATTATTGCGCTCTTTTTTAAATACACGCGGAGCAGTTAAAGTGAAAAAAAAAATAGATAGGTGTAGGAAATATATTAGTGTGCATAATATTGTTATACATAAAAAAATGAACGGACTTTTCCAAAGTCTAAATTGTAAATGTCCAACTACACATCCATAGCAAACACAACTTCGGTAACTTTTACTGCGCTTTTTGAGAATAATGGAAAACAGTAGAAACTTTGTAGACAGAGGTTTATATAATGTTAGCTAAAGTTCACCAAAAGCCATAAGACAAACTTGAAGCAAGAACACCTACTTTTAGCAAAGAACTTAATGCTGGCCTAGAAAGATTTAGTAGCAATCTTGAAGTAGCCTGATAGTTAACCAAATGCTGATAAAGTATTTGCCAACTTAGTGAAAAGGTAAGCCGAAATACCACAAATTTGTTCAGTATTATAAAATATGGAAAAATATGACCAAGAAGTAGTAAAAAATTTCCAAAGAATATCAAAAGAAAACAACATTGTCAATCTTTTCCATTATGTACATTTTCTTAAATTGTACATGAAATCATTTTCTTCTTGACAAAAATGGAAAAAGGATAATTAAACGTTTAAATGAGCAAAATGAATTAGCAAAATGTACCATATCTGTCTCACTCACTGTCTCAGTATCACCACCAGCAAGTAATGAACTCTGTATTAACCATCAATGACATTGACAAAGGTAGTTACTGCCTCAATTTCCTGGCTGCTTCATAATTCATACTTCCTGATTCATAGGTGGTAATGGCCTGCTATTTTAAGCATCCTCTCTGAGCACCTCCAGTACCCTCTGCTTATTGGCTTGTTGCAGCAGCTGGCAGGAAGTCAGTAAACCAAGTAACGGTCCAGCAGGGACCGGCTGAAGCCAGGGAGTCCGAGTTGGCGAGCAACAAGAGGAAATTGATCCGATCTAATAGCTTGTGTGTGTAAATGATGGTTTGGGCTTGGTGGCCGTACTTGGCTGGAGGGAACGATGATGAGTGTGTGTCTCAGTGTGTGTGTGTATGTGTGTGTTGCCAGGGAAGCAGCAGATTAAAGTTTATAGGGACTGAACTCTCTGTAGCGCTGTAGACTCTTCACTTAGCATGCAGCGCTGTCCTGGGCTATTTACAGAGGTGACTTATGGAGGCTGGTGTAAGATACACTGTGTAAGAAGACACTGCTGATGTGACAGCCAGAGTTTGGTGAACAAGCAGGCTGACGACGGGGCCCAGGTGCACCTGGAAAGAGTCTTCAAGTTTGAAGAGCTTCGAGTGAACCGGGCTCCCAATCAGCAGCTGCACTGGTTCAGTGAGAGACTAAAGTGAAGTGAACTGACAGTCCCTGTGTCTCTGACGAGCTGCAAACGCATTCATGATTACATCTGAAAAGAATCTGATTTGAAAAGCTTGTATTTAAAAGGTACAACTGTCCTGCATCAGACCTTGATGCTAAATTTGGTTACCTTTTTGGACTTAACTCAACCCATTGCTTATTCCAATGTTCCCTGCAGACCAATAAAGTTGTCAATATAAGAACTGTGAAGATCCAAACTAGAAAGCCAAATCAAAAATGTCATTTTATACTTTGATCAGGAAGAAACAAGTGAACCAAAATAACAGAGTAAACAAAGCCACTAACGTGGTTTTTTTCTCCACTGACTACTTCTCTCCTCCATTATTGTGTGTCTTTTCAACAATGGATGCACAAAGGTTCTTGCACATTTATTGGAGTCTTATTTAGTTAAGACAGTTTTTTGCATTCCAAGAGATGAAAACAAATTTCTTCACCCTGACCTTCCTAAACACCTCAACCACCCTACAAGTCGAAAAATGAACACCGAAGCCAAAACCTCTGCTAGAAACACAAACTGATGCCAAGTTATCCTTATGACATCTTTCACCCTCCTTTCCTCTTTTCCACATTAGTTCCTCTGTCCTGACCTAGGCCACAGATTCTTCCTGAGGCATGCTTTGGTGGAGACCCACCTCCAGAGCCAGCTCCTCTATCTGCAGCTGCTTCTTTGCACCCCGGTCTCCATCCACGTTCTTATGGTAGTAGATCACCATCACGTCATACTTCTTCATAATGGACTTGTAGTTCTTGGCACTGAGATTGTGGACGCGGTCTCTGCCATCATACTCAGGGATCTCCAGGCCTTTCTCTCCCCAGGACAGAGTCACTAAAGAGAGGAAGACCCCCAGAAACACCAACCCCAACTTCATGGCTGTCAGCTGGTGGATACAGGAAGGTCTCTTCCCAGAGCCTCGACTGTTGATGGGTCAGGAACACACTCAAGAAGGTTAACCGTTGTTCCTAACACTAGTCAGGTGTAAATATGGGAGAGTGAGGAACACAGTTTGCTTCCTGACCCCCACAAGGCTAGAGAAGAGCCGCTCCAAGAGTGACACTGTGCTTTTAAAAAGACCTACACGTGGTTTTCCTGATGCCACTGCCCACAGAAAAAGGGGATGGGCTTCTATTTGGTGACGGGAGTCGGTATGTCAGAGAGTGAGACATTGATCTCTACTGGATCTAAAAGCAACAGGGGAGAGGAGGCTTCCAAAATTGTGGGACAAATGCATCAAGAGGCTTGGGCTAGTCCAGGAAAACAGCCAATGGCTGGTGATGTGGGAGGAGTGGTTTGGCCACCTGTTTGTAGGGGTTGCTGTAATAAGGGACAGTGGCTTGTGCTGGTTGTTTGGAGAGCTACAGATTCCAGCTAGATGTCTTGCAGAACCAAAGTTATAGATGGATGGATGTAGGATGAGAGCTTGGGGGAAAGAAGAGCTCCAAGATGCCTTTGCCATATTAAGTTCTGCAGAGGAAGCTGGACTCCAGCTAAAAATATCTCCCCTCCCCCCTCTGTGGACAAGACAACATTAAGGACTAGATGGTAGAGAAAAGAAAAAAAAACGCCAGACATGAAAAAAAAAGAAAAATCCTCTTAAATCAAGCTGTTCAGTGACTACTGTGAGAGTAAAATGTAATGTTGGGAGCAGAAGGTGCTACAGCACTTGAAGGTGAGAAATTATAGAAATTATATGTAGTGCCTTAGAGTTGTGTCTGCGCCACAGGGCAACACAACTAACTTTTTCAATCACCTGAAAAAAGCAAACTCAAATATGATGAAAGCAAAAAGGACAAAGCTTATGCTAACACAGGTGCAATAAATCACCGACCGTGTCCAACGCCAACACAAACAACCTTAACTGAAACCCTGCACCACACAACGCCTTATCCATTCACCTTTTACGTTTCCTCAACAGGAATAGGTGTCCCTTCTTGTAAATAGTCAATGGCATATTTATTTTTCATTTGGTAAATTTTATTATTTATCATTTTATTTTATTTTAAGTTTAATTTTCAACTTGAAAGTTTTGCTCACATAGAAGATGCAATAAAATGTGTTACATTTTATCTAACATAATGAATAATCCTGATTTACAACTGTGATTTCAAAATTGGTAAAAAATAATCGTGATGATCATTGTGGCCATAAACATACAGCCCTGAAAAAAAACATTTGTAGATTTGTAACACAACCAAGCCAAATGAGACTCACAGTTGGATCTAATTGGTACCCCGACCTTATGTTGGACACCAGAAGTGCCAAAGTGTCAGATTTCAAGTAAAGTCCCATGTACATGGCCATTAAAGTATCTCTAAACAAAACATCAAAATGGGGAAAAATGAAGAGCAATTCTCTGTGGGGATTAATAGGATTAAATATATTGATATATATATATACACACACACACACACACACATATATACATATTATATATCATATATGACATTTCATTAACAGAATGCAGCAGAAAAGTATACATTTGTTGTGTGTCATATTTGTGTTCAAGAGTTAGATCAATGAGAAAGTAGAAAGGGCATCTATTAATACCACTGTTGTAACATGAGCTGCCCTCTGCTGCCCCCTGCCAACGTTAAGTCAAACAGAGATGTGCGTGTATGTGTGTCTGTATGTTTTCCAATGCCAATGTGTGTGTGTCAGCAAATATAATCTAACTATTGCCACCTGATGAAGTAAACAGCGCCCTCCTCTGGTAGTTGCATTAGTGACATTGATGGTTTCTGCATCAGGTGGATGTTCTTCGCCTATGCCCTCCAACCAGACGAGCTACAACTATGACTGTTTCCACAGCAACAGAGAAAGAGACTTAGACCGTTGTAATGGAAACAGCACTCAGTGTTCTCTAGAGTGTAATCCAAGAGTGAAGCTAATTTAAGACAGTCAACTGTTATCCCTCAGATCAAGGAGAAAAAACAAAAAATGAAAATAACAAAAATACACTTTTCACTAAGCAATTTGCCAGTTTCAACTTTTGCTTTTTTAGATATATATATATAGATAAGCCATCTTGAGAGGAAAGCGCTCATTCTGGATTTCATTGGATATTTGATTGTTTTATTTTGGCTTATCCTGCTTTTCATACTTATTTTGCAAATTTCCCCAAGAATATTTTGTGTATGGTATTTGTTTAAGCTAACTGGAAATAAATATTCAAAACTGTGCTATAGATAAAGCTTTCAGACTTCTGGAAGTTAATTTTGTTGTCATCATTTGGCTCAAGGCTTAGAAGTGTGCTTTCTTTATTATTATTATTATTATTACTATTATAACTGCTTTTAACTACAGCTTTTCAGCATTTACCCATATTTTTAAATGGTTTCACTATATTTTAGTCATTTTTTACAAATTACTCTCCAAACTTCAGGATGGTAAAACCATACTTTACAATGATAAAACCTGAGACTGGACATAATGCTAAATAAGCCTAAATAAGAGATGGTCTTCCAGTGGGAGCGACTGAGTGTATTTTTCCTATATGGTCTAGACATACCTGACAGCATTGACAGTATTGATCTGGATGTTACAATGTCACAATCTCAGAGGGTAAGACGGTGACGAGCTTGAATAGGGGTGTTAATAAAAGGTCCTTGAAAGATGGACTGGAACAAGGTATCATGGGAAATAAGGTGTGGTAGATGGAGACGATAGTGGAGTGGCCAATTAAAGAGGAGTAGAGAGATACACTTAGGAAATGTGAAGGGGGTAGAAATTAAATCAGGAAGAAGAATGAGAAAAATATGCTGGGTCAACCTATAGATGGCTATTACTGTAATAAGACTGAAGGAGAAACCAACCTCCAGGAGGAACAAATGCTAACGGATCTCAGACTCAAAAACAGGCAAAAAAATCCAACAATCCTCAGTGTAAAGATGTATTTTGTTATTTTATATTTTGCTAAGTCCAAACCATTTCCCAATTCTAGAGGTGCTTAAAAAATATAGTTTTGACTGTTTTTTGGTTATCCTTTAGCTATGTCTAGATTTACCTTTTAGCTAGCGCTGAACTAATATTGTACAATATTTAATTACTTATAAGTCATACATGGCTTGAATATATATATATATAGAGAGAGAGAGAGATACATATATTAATCTGACAATTGCAAATGTTGACTATAATTTGGTTTTCTTTAAGCAAATTTAAGCAAACAACTTTTTCCCAACATAAAACCTAAAGTTTATTTCAAAACTTTATCCAAATTGATCTACAAGTTTTTCTACTTAATTCTTTGCTGATTTTAGACTAGTTATCTTTTCATTATTCTATATTTTTATTTTGCGATTTTTTTCAAGCATATTTTTAACAGGTTTTTTTTTTTGGCCAATTTAACAAGGGAAACTTTGAGGATGTCACAGTCATCTTACCCTGAGCTCCTACTAATTTCTGACCCTGCTGCATGTTGACAGCACCAGCAGATCTTTCAGTGTGGTCTCTATTAAGAAATGTCAATATGAAGATTGGCTTCAATAGTTGGCTGACGACAAGGATGCGATGTTGCTAAGTAACCAAAAACCAGACAGACTGACTGATCAAGCTGCTAGCCAACAGTTGGAGTGTGAAGGTCGTGTGTGTGTGTGTGTGTGTGTGAATTTGTTAGTGTTCTCTGGATATGTGAAACAGTGGTGACAATGACTGAGAGGATTTGTGTGTGATGGGTTCAAGGAGTTTTTGCAGATTTATATTAGATTTATTTTTGAAGTTGACCTTTGAAAAATAAATTAAATTCAGATGGAATAACTCAACAAAATGTCCTAAAATTATATGCATCCTAGGCTCTTTAAAGTATCTACAGTACATAATAATTGTAATCATCATAATTGATGATGACAAAAATTAGAGTATGTCAAATTAATGAGTTTATTCCCAGTCATTTTGTTAATTTGATTAGGTTAAAATTGGTTCTGTTTTTTTTTTCCAGTTTCAACTGAAGTGTTTTACATTGTATTCTGATCCTGTTTGCAATGACAAAGAAAAGTTGAACTCTTTTTTATTTTATTTTATTTAAAGTTATACTGATTATAGATCCTACAGAAGAAGTCTTCACTTCTACAGTGGTCATTTTCAGCTCAGAGGAAGCTGCTGTAATCAATACATCTGTTGCTCCCTGAGCTCAACACCTAATGTGACAAGGCTTTTAGGCCCTAATTGCAATTTGTAATTGTGTTGGAGGCTAACAGGCCCGAGGGGAGGGTGTAATTAAGATGCGGCTGGTAATGGAGACCAGTTATCATGATGTCAATGTTTAACCCAGACCTTGACTTTAGAACAGACTGACAACAGGAGAACTTGGGCACAGGTGAAAATCACAATAAGATACAGAAGCTAAATATTTACCTTCAATTAGTTTTAGGTTAGCTTAAAATGCCTATAAATTATTATCTCAATTAGGCCTAGATTGAATTTTTGTGTAATACACAATAATAATAAACAACAACAATAAAAAAAATGATATTTTCTAAAACCTTGCTCAGATTTAGTTGGTGCTAATTCTATCATGTCATAGTATCTATAATTTCCATAATTGTAGATCACTGTATATCCCAAATAGCTGATAATAACCAAAACTAAAAGAAAACATAACTAAAATTTACCTCAACTGAGTCTGGAGTAAGCAGAAATGATGTATTCCCACAAATTATTCAAAAAGATAAGAAAGAGCACATCCATCCAGGTATATTTTGGGTAGGTCTTACCAAATACATAGCCAAAACAGTTAAATTATGTTCCTAAAATCCCAAAACCAAGCCAAAGGATTGGAAAAGAGCAGAATGCGGCCATGAGTGATGACTGCAGGTGCAGGATGACAAACGACAGAGAGCAACCAGGCAGAAGGCAGAGAGGATGATGAAGCTGGTTTCAGGGCAAAATGAGGCCGTGACATAAAAAGATCTCTAAACTCACCCTTCTGCACCTTTAAAGAGGGTCTGTTCTGGATTCCTTGTCCGCTGAATTTTCAATGGAGACAAAGAAACCAAACCTGAACTCAGACACGTCAACAGAGTGGAAATTTAGGTTTTGAACAAACAGTATGACAATCACCTCCACCAAAGTCAATAAAAAAATAACTTGCGTATCTGGTGTGCTTGACACTGAGGTGAATCCAATCAAAGTTTTTTATTGACTAAGTTCACAACAAACTACAACTGAACTCAACTGCTCCAACTGTAATTTTCTCTGAATTTATTGTATAATCGTCAACACTGTCTATAGGCTTTGGTTTGTGACTGGTAAATGTTAACGGTTTACAGTTTAGTAAATATTTGTTGTGTAAATGTCCGACAGACATTTCTTGGCTTATACTATAAATATACTAAAAATAACACAATAATGCTGTAAAAATGTTTAACGTGAGGGGGGGAATTTCGTGTGTACCTCAGCTTTTTGTCCCAGAAAATATTTTAAACGATTAGAAAACAAACACCAGTCAAGCTCAAGCTCCTGTACTATAAATATAATATTATAAAACATGTCGAAGTAAATATTTGTATATAAGTAGAATATGCAGATTAAAAAAGAAAACTTACAGAATCAAAACATGGTTAAATAAAAATTCCAAAAGTAAACCGAAGTCTAAACTGCTATTAGACGAAACGAGCACATAACAGACAAAACGTACAACGATGGAGGCGGGGCCAGTGACCGGAAAAGAAGCGCTGACACAAAAGCCTAAAGCTGTTTTCAAAATAAAACAGGAAGTAAGCGTTTGGATTTTTTTTAACTCAACCAGCTAACACTTAACTAAGCTCTAGCTATTTTGCGTTTCAGCAAGCATCATTCATTACCAATAATCGAGTAACTCCAATAAAAACTCACAATAAAAGCAAACAGGTTCAATGACTTCTAAGCATTTTTGGCAAGCACTGTGTTTTTCTGATCTCTGCTTATGTGACATCAATGTTTTGATATACTTATAGCAATATATATCTGCCTTTTAACCACTGATGTTTTTGCATTTTTGTCCTCTTCTCAGCTAAATTGTGCCATTTACAATAACATGGATATGTGTTTTCTTTATTTTGGCTAACTGATATCCACCATAAAAGGTTTACTTTTACATTATCTTTAAACCATTGTGCATTATTTAGGTATCCTTTGGACAAACAGTTGTTTTTTGTGCCAAGTAGAAACCATTGTTTTGATCCCTGTGGAGGAAAGAGAACTACAGTACAGAAGGAGAGAGACGTGGATGTAAGGCAGCAGTGACTGAGCATTTTTATTGTTTCTCATTGCACCGACTCATCCTTGTGAATGAGCACATTCACCCACAGTGACAGAACATTTCTTCTCCCCTGCTCTCTTTCCTCGCTCATCCAACCATCCTTCCACTTTATATATAAACATCTACCCCCCCTCTTTTTTCAATTGTGGTTTCTTCTTCCTTCCTTCCATTCCTCTCCTTCCCTCCCTGCTTCCTCTCACTGCAGCTGAGTCCTGGGCTTGTTTTGTTTGGGAGAACTTCCTTCCTCTCTGTTGGCTTTTCTTCCCTCCTCCAATAATCATGGAGCTGCTCTTGTGATAGGAAACAAGAACTTCCCTATTTTAAACTGCTCCAGGGCAAAAACTGGACAGTGGTTTGTTTATGTGTGAGTGTGGCAGAGGGAGTGAGAGGGAACAAGAGAGAGAGGGAACAAGAGAGCTAGCAAAAGAGAGAGAGATTAGTGTTGTATTTCATCTGGATCCTGTTTTTCATAATACAGTCATTTCCACATCCCCAGGATACACACACAGCTAAGGTGTTGCACTAACCTTGCTGACCTGTCTAACGTTAAGCCTTATTATTTTAACTCTCTCCTGAGCAAATTTGTTTCACCCAAACATTATGTATTCTTGTGCTAATGTTTGGTTATAGTACCATATGTTTGGCTAACCCTGAGGTATTTTGGATGTTTTGTGCATTCTTTCTCACAAATATGTTAAGATCTTTAGATTTTATTTAATTATATTTGTTGCCATTTTTTAAGAATTTATAGCTATTTAATGCTTGTTTTTGTTCTATTTTGGCTAGTACTTAGCTGCGTTGCTACGTTTAGGTAACTTTCAGCTATTTCCTCAATTTCAGCCCAGCTTTTTCCATCTAGGCTTATAATAATGGCTTATATTTGATATTATTTTTAATAGCTAATACCTGACATTTAGCTGTTACATAGCTATGATCTGGATAGGGGGTAACATTGTTTTTTTCTTACCATTTGAAGTAAAATTTTGTGATTTGTTGCTATAGTCAGGAAAAATGACTGTAATCTTTAGGGTTATATTTGCGTCATTGTGAGTACCATTGTACCTTTGTCTATCCTTGTTTTCTTCCAACTATTGACTAGAGTGTAGCCATTTTTACAATTTCTTTGGAAATTGTTTTGCAGATAAATCCATAATTTCTCAGCGCAGCCAGGTACAACACACGGGTTTACGAAAAAATAAACATGTTTTTTTCCAGAGTTGTTGTTAAAACTCATTCCTGTCACGTAAGTGAGCCCTAACAAAACTCCCAGCATGCCCCTCACCATATGGCCTCCCAGGCAACCACAGATTATGGACTGACTCATGTGTCTCCCGCTGAGATCTATTCAAGCGTCTGACATGCGAAGAATGAGTTAGAAAAAGAAAATGTTGATGTTTATGGCTCTACATTTATCCCTTTCTGACATGTTTTCATTCCTTTGCTTCAGTTTCGTCACACACAGGTGAAACAAGTCAACATAAACCATTAAAAGAGAACAGACAGTCAGTGTTTCCACACAGATCAACTGAAGGTGGTTGTGTTAGGTTTTTTTCTTTTTTTTTTTTTACAGAGCATCTGTTGCTGCGATGCAAATGAACGCACTTGTTTGCATAAATTATCCACAATAATGTCTTTTGTTTGGGTGAAACCAGCTGGTGAGAGGACGGCAGCTCATTCACACAGTCACAGGTACAAGACATCGGAGCTGTGTGAGAGCCTGGAACACGTGTTACTGTAGAAACCTTTTGTGTTTTAATGACTATTCTTATAGTATGAATCCAAATTTAGTTTAGAGTAACCGTTCTGTCTGGTCCTTCAATGACAACTGAATACAGGACACAACCCTCAACTACTTCTGTTGGCCCTAAAAAGTTTGTAAAAACTGACACCGGCCAAGTTTGAATTCTAGTTTGCTGAGACATGGCCCAAAGTTTAGATATCAGATGTGGCCCAAAGTCTAGACAGTCTAGAGTCGTGGCACATAGCGTTTATTGCACACAGTCTAGATATCAGATATATTTGACAGTCTAGATATCAGATGTAGCTCACAGTCAATTTGGATGTTCTGACCTTACTTAGTTCATGACAAAAACGCAAATTTGCACATGCTGCATCGTCTTTTTTAGAAAATCAACAATATGGTTGCTGTGATACTATAAAGTGCTTTCAGGGGGAAAGTGCAGAACATGATTAGCAAAGAGAATAGAGCTCAGGAATCATTAGCAGTCTGGTGCCTCTGTCGTCCTAAAACACCAGTGAGTGACACAGGTTTGGATTTCACCATAGCAGCAGCAGCAGCAGCATTAAGTCTCACATTTGAGCCTTTTGTGAAGATAGTTAAGTTAGCCTCGTGGTCCACAGCACAGGTTCTATTTTCAGTGTTGTTTTATTTTCTGAGGTCTGAAGAAAGACAAAGTGATGGATGATTAAACATCATGTGAGCAGGCGTCCAGCTCCTGCTGGCTCACTGTCACATAAATGAATGAAGTCTGGGTTGGTGTGAGAGAGGGAGGGAGGGAGAGAGAGATAGAGAGAGAGAGAGAGAGAGAGTTATTTTGCATTGTGTTGTGATGGAGAAAAAGAAGCAGGAGTTTTTTTCTAGACCGGATAACGCAGTGACATCAGCTTTGAAAAATGTGTGTGTGCAAGTATGTGAGCAAGAATTACTGTGTGTGTGTGTGTGTTTTAGACTCTGAGAACCAGCTGAATCAGAGGCCATGGAGAGACAGAACATTCACTCTGCCCTTTTTTTCTATAAACCACTTTTCAAATAGTCAGGAATAGGAAACATATTCTGTTCATCTGCAGCCAAGTCAGACAGTGGTACATCATAGGTCATAGCTGGCCCTTTTCTGCTTCCATACTGGATTAGACCCACTTATCTGGGCCTACATGACTAAATGTACTAGACAATATTGGTGTTGTTTTGTATGTATATACTGTATACGTATATACAGTATATATATTTATAAATTGTACAAATACATCCTTTTTCATCAATTAAATACTGATACTGAGAATCCATGCTGTCCTTACCAAAATATGTTAGATTGTAATACATACTTGTTTGAATGTAAATCTACATTCAAATATTTGATGCCTGTCGTATCTCGGTATACATCTTTTAGACAAATACCAGATTATACAGATCTACAGATTATACCAGATTATCTCAGTTTATACATTTAAAAAAATGTTAATTTGCATGCTATGTGTGTGTGTGTGTGTGCATGGTTATAGTATTGGTGTAAAAGTGAAGTTATTGAATATTTATGATGAATACCATTTATTATAATATCTTTGTGTCATGCTGCACATTATATTTTGGTCATCCTGCAGTGAAATATTGTCTCTTAGTCTGATATGTTTGAGTTAAGGAACTAGGTCAGCCTCAGACAACAGACACAATGATTTTAGTTGTTAGTTAGTTTTAGTTAGACAACACAACAAAAAGTATGTGTAGGTATGAAGCCGAACTTAAAACTACTGACACTCTCTCCAGAAGCTCAAAGTGACTTAAGGCCAGGGTGACGGAAAAGTCATGCTGGAGGACAACCAGTCCCCTGGGGACCTGGGAGACGGACCATAGAAGGAAGTTCTGGAAGAAAGTCCTCAAAAGACTGCAGTCTGTTTTAGGAGTGGAGTGAGATGTTGTTGTTCATAGACGACCTCCGGACGGAACAGACAACGTGCTAAACCGTGACAGAAGGGGGAGTGAGAGAGAAAAAGAGAGAGAGGTACAGAAACAAAGCGAGAGAGAAAGAGAGAGAGAGAGAGAGAGAGAGAGAGAGCGAGAGCAAGCCAAAGGCGTTTCCACGTTTCTCAGCTCTTCTCACAGCAGCGGACACGAACTCGGAGGATCCACGACTGTCTGTGTTTCAGACCTGTCTCCTTGTCTCATTTTAAAAACACTGTCACTGTCACTTGTCCACCACCACCATCACTCCCCACGCGAGTCTCTGCTCCGGCTCCTAACATCCACAGACACAGTGATGATCCATCAGTGAAGCCGGGACAGAGTGGACATTGTGGACTTTTATATTTATTTATTTTCCCTTTTTTTTACTGACTTTTTCAAACCCACAAGTGACGTGAAGCTCGGCTGCTCTGCGTGACACTCACGGGAGGTTATCTCTCCACGTATCCCTTCCAGAAGCTGAAGCTGACTCATTTTCACCGGTGAGTCTAATTTCTATTCACATCCTTTCAATCTCCTGCGACATTTCTAATGTCTGGTCTGCACTGCTCTGAAACAACAATGTTTGCCTTAAATGTCATTTCAAAGAAGTCTTCCGTCTGTGTTTCATGAATCGGGACTCCCCCAGCCCTGTCTTCATTCACAGATCCTCACATTCCGTTAAAGGCTCGGTACACTCGGTTTCAAGCGAGGGAGAGGTGGTAGGAGGAGGAGGAGGGGGGTGCTCAAGTTAAAAAAAATACAAATGGTCTTACATTATAAATTATATATTTTATTAAAATATACATATATAGTAAAGTAATATGAAATGTGTAATATATTCAGTTTCCATCAAATTAGCATTTATAAATATTATATTTTTCTATATGGACATCTCCCACCATGACTTAACAGTTTCCCTAAATAATAAGTTAGGGCATTCACTTGGATTTTTTTTCCCATTTTGTTTTATAATTTTATGGTTCAATATAACTATTACAGATATACTTTTAAATTTATATAAAGAAATGTCATTAGAACTCATGTCTAACTAGTTCATATACATTACGGTCACTTTCCAAATTATTTCAGATATGATTTTTTTCATTTTTCTTTATACAGCTCTGGTTTTTATTTTTTACTTTAAATGACATAAAATTTAATTTTTCACTACGTTACATTTTTCTCTATATGGGTTTTTAAATGTATTTTTTATTTTTATGGCAGGTTCTTAACCTAGAATTAAAATGTTTCTCTTTTTTTTAATCAGTTTTTTTTCCAGTCGCAGTATTTAACATACTTCAGAGCACTACAGAGTTCATGGCTCTGATCAGTTCAGTTTAAACCATCACCCTCTCTGCACTACTTATAATGCATTATTGATGTAATACATAACAGAGTGATAAAATGGATTACAGACACCGGCTTCAAACTAAGTATTATTAAAACGGCTTAACCAGTGAGGCGTTCACTGACCTCACAGATCCATCACGTCAATGGAACTTGATAAAAATGTATCATTTAATAAAAAATGATTTGTCTTAATAAGAGCTTTTCCTACTGTTGACCATCACATACACACAGACCTCCCATTCTTACCCCTGACTGCCTCTCAAATGTGATCAAAAACTTGACAGTGAAGTGTCCAGTGCCTGTGCCCTCCAGAGGTCATTTAACACACCATCAATTAAAGTAATTGGTTTGTGCTGTGCTGCTCTTAATTGGTCGGTCTTATATCCTGTGTGTTCTTTTTTACCCTTGCACACGGACACACACACACACCTAATTATTTATAGTTAGTTTTGTATAATAGTTTTCCTAGTACTGTAGTTTTGTGTATTTGTTTGTGACAGGACAAATGTAAATTTCCCATTTGTGGGATGAATAAGGCACTCACTTACATCAAGCTGACCTTTCATTATTTCTGGCTATTTTATAGTAGAATTCACAAAGAAAAGAAAAATCACATTCTTAAATCTGACGGCCCATTCAGCCATTCTTTGGCCAGTTTGGAGTTACTGTTGCTCTGACCCAGAATTAGTTTCCTAGTTTTTAGATGTATTTGGCTCTGCGTATGAAATTTCTGTCTATTCCCAGGTATCTTGTCCTTACTTGTTAACTCTTTTTTTTATCTTGTTCAGCTTGGTGGACTAATTTTAAGATGTTAGGCTATGCTATTGGAAGCCTTTAAATTAAGTTATACCCAAATTTAGGACAAATTTAGGTCTGTGGTTTTCCTTAGCCCAGCTGAACATTTACCATCCATGTCTTTTATAAGATGTTGTTGCAAAAGACGTTACCTAATATTGGTCACACCATATCTGTATTTTTAGACTGTAAAGATGTTCTGCCTGTGAAGCAAAAGTCAGGGATAATGAAGCACCAGTGACCATGTGACTGTCCTGGATGGCTGTGTGTGTGTGTGTGTGTGTGTGCGGAAAGGGTGGGTCTTTTTTATGAATGAATGTGT